TGAGAGGGCTGCTGGATCTAGGTGTCTATCTGTAATAATACCGCATGCATCATTTCCCCACTGTAGAAATGGTAGCGTCGGGAGCCCTTTTCCATGGAGACAGGGTTCCAGGTGGGAAACAGACACGCCCCGGGCTGCTAAATGAATCTGCACTTCTCCCTGTGTCATGTAGCACTGTGCCCCTTTGCACGCTCCTAGGGAAGCAGTTAACAGGAACGGGAAGCACGGCCTAGTGGTTAGAGTCCAGCTGTGTAAGTCCAGCGAGCTGGGCTGGGTGACCTTGGGCAAGTCTTCACCCTCCCACCCTGTGCTTCAGTTTCCCCGTCTGTGAAATGGGGATCATGTTCCTGACTGACGTGGCCTGCCCTGGCAGATTAAAGTTTGCAATCAGAGCAGAGCATTTGTCCGGAGGGAACTGACCCAACCCTGAAAAATCCAGCGTCATGGGGGGCTTTGGAAAATGTCTCCCTAGTTGCTTTGGCTGCTGTTTCATGCCTTCCTTCGCTGGTATCTTCAGAGAATTGCCCTTAATCCTTCTCCCAAAAACGCAACTGGGCTGAAACGGCCACTTTCGAGGGCCAACCCTAAGCCAGCCGGGCGGTCAGTGGCGCTGCTGGATCTAACTTGTAGCATCATTTAAAGGGATCTGGGATGCTGGGAGAAGCAATGTGCCCCCCCCCCCCCGTGCTCAGCTTAACTCTCTCCGAATGCAGCTCTTGCATTCTGGTCACTTAACTCAAATCGCATGTAATGATGTGAAAGTGAATTGCATTCTCCATTCCATTACCCCAGCTGCAAGGCTGGGCTGAGAGCTTTGGTTTTCCATTAAGCCCCTTTTCTGTAAAGTTCCATATTGTTACATTAAACTACCTGCTTTGCAGTAGCACCTTAGCGCATCTTTTGCAATTCACCAGGACCTGCCCTTTTTCTCTTGGCCGGATGTCACAGGCAATCCGCTTCCTACAGTGAGCACAGAAGTGGTTTCACGTTGTGGAGGCAGCTAGTCCTGCTCAGGTCAGTAGCAGGTTTTGAACCTCCTGCCTTCAGCACCAAAAGCACGAGTCTCTGTTGGCTGAGCTAAAGGAGTATCTCAGGTTATTAGATCTAGTAACAGTCTCATAACCGCCTTACCACTAGCAGGAGACCACCCCCAGTTTGTATTGTGGAAGCACCTAGCGGCAGGGCCTTGCACTGTGCCATGCTTGCCACCTTAGACAAGTGATCCCCAAACTTTTCCCCTTCCACCCCCTCTTAACTGGTCCGCACTCCCCTTCTCCCAAAAGCGGTGGTCAGGAGTCAGGGCCAGGAGAAGGGCTGGAGCCACAGCTGCGAGCTGGGGTCAGGAGCGGCACCATGGCTGGGAGCGGGGCTGCAGTCAGGGCCAGGGCCAGCGCTGCAGGGTCTGTGGTCGGGGCCGGGACCAGGAGTGAGCTGGGGGCAGAGTGGTGCTGGGTGGTGCTCCCTCCCTGCCCCTCGTGGGGGCTTGCCCAGGCCCCCCCCCAAACTTTCCTCCACACCCCCCTGGGGTCATGCCCCACAGTTTGGTAACCACTGCCTTACACCCTCTCATCACGCCCTACAAAGAGGACCCTGATCTCTAGCGCCTCCCCCTGGCTTAGTTTAGGTCAACGAGGGAGCCTTGTCCTGCCCGCTCTGCAGCGGGAAGGAGAACGTTGGAGACGGGGCCAGGCTGCAGATGTGGGCTCTGAATTTAAACGTCCCCGTGGGCCAGGTTGGGGTCTGAGGTTCTGGTTCTAGAAGAAAACGGTTGGTTTCTAGAGGACCCCTGCTCACACCACCGCAAAACACCGGGCCGCTGTGCAGCGAAAGGGGGGTGAATTCTTGCGAGTCAGACCCGGACGTGGCGCTGCCAGGCCACGGAGCGCCACGTGAGCCCGTGTTCGGTTTCCTCCTTTATGGGGCTGAGTCTGGATCTCCAGGCGTTGTGTTTTGCAGGTGCTCAGCAGCCAGGAGAGAAACTGCATCAACACACGGACCCTGGAGCCTCAACTTGGGACCTAACTCCCAGTGGGGAGGTTCCAGGTCTGCTCCTGTCTCTGGAATCATCAAGGGCCAGATTCTGTGCAGTACCTAGCCGGCAGGAAGGAGTCACTCTCCCAGGGTGAGTCCAGAGGACGGGCTGGGCGCCCGCTCAGGCTGTGCGGGGAACTCAGGGCATCTATATAGAGAACTGTTCAGGGGAGCAAAGGGCTGGGCAAGGGGGTGTCTCTATGGGCAGCAGGGATGGTGTTTGCACTCAGCCCTGTCTCCTCTCTGAGCTCCTGGCATCTGGCTAGCTACCCCACCCTTGTTCCTGTCTATACTTCCCAGCTACCACTGAGTGGGCAGGGGGCTGGGCAGACTCCTCTCCTGGCCAGCACCTAATGCCGGGGGTCTTGCAGCAGGGCTGAGTGCGGGGCGTGACTGTGGCAGTGAAGAGGTCCCTGCTGGGAGGTGTGTGAATCAGGAGGCAGCTGCAGAGATGACCAGGGGAGGGAACAGGCAGGAGCTCACTCGTTCACCCAGGGTGCTGCAGGGGTGGGGATGCACTGGGTTCAACTCTGCCTAGCGAGGCTGGTGCAAAGAGCCTGGGGAGTAGGCTCCCCCCGCCTCCACCCCTCACACCATGGGCTTCTGGGCAGGTGCAGTGGGCAGGAAGAGGGTATGTTAGGGCTGGTAGAGGGCACGACCAGGCTCTCCTATGTCCTGGCAATCCTGTGCCCCCCTGAATAGGGGAGTGCAAGCACTGATGCAGGGATGAATTTGCCCCTAGTTCCTCTGGCCGTATCAGGATGTGTGGGGTGACTAGCAAAGTGGGGCTGCCACTCAGAGCTTTCCCCCTTGATACAGTTGAAACTGAACAGTGTTGCGCCATGTAACTCTGGCCCCAGTTCCACAAGCCCCCCCAACACACATACATAGGGGCCAAGAAACCAGGCTCATCCCTTGCTTAAAAAACCTAACCCCCCCCCCCTTTTTTTTTTTTTTTTGGTGCTCAGTAAAAACAGATTTTAACTCCCTCCCCGGCACAGGGTGCAGGCAGCGTGGGGAGGTCGGAGGGAGTAGGCTGAGGTGTTGGGGATGGGGGTGTGGTGGAAGAGCGGAGGAAATGAAAATGGGTGGAAGAAACTGTGGACCCAAGGTAAGCACCGCGAAAGGAGCAAAGAGCCCAGCTGACTTGGAAATGCCCCTGGGAAGCCCGGCGGGCTCCAGAATGTGCCAGCAGCTTGCCAGAAGCCCAAGCTAAGATCAAGGCTCATGGCGCTGTACAAACACATTGCGAAGGCCGACCCCGTCCCACGCACCTTACAGCCTAATCAGAGGAGGCACAGAGAAGTGAAGCACTTGAACCAAGCTCACACACATTGGCCAATGGCAGAGCTGGGACTAGACCCCAAGTCCCCCGAGTTCAAGAGCAGTGTCCTACCCCCTAGGTCATGCTGCCTCTCTAGCACTTCCTACATTGAGATGAGAAGGGTCTGAGCCTCTGCTGGACTCATAAGTGCTTGACAAAGGCTCCTCTTTTCGGCTGCAGTATTTGGGGCTCCGAGTCAGTAACAAGCCCTGGTGAGGAGCAGATCAAGGAGCAATGTTACTGGTACCGAATAGGGACCTTAAATAATGCTTTGTGAGGGATGGGGGTGGTGTGGGGGTCTGGGGTTATAGAGACAGGAGGGAGGTGGGAGCTGTGACGGGATAGGGGGAGAATGGTGAGCTAATCCAAGTGAAGAAAACAAGGGCCATACTGGGTCAAACCAATGGTCCAGCCAGCCCACTATCCTGTCTCTGACAAGTGGCCAGTGCCAGATGATTCAAAGGGAATGAACAACACAGGGCAATCTGAGTGATCCATCCCATCATCCAGCCCCATCCTCTGGCCGTCAGAGATTTAGGGACACCCAGAGCGTGGGGTTGTGTCCTTGCCCATCTTAGCTAATAGCCATTGGTGGGCCTGTCCCCCATGAACTTACCTAATTCTTTTTTTGAACCCAGTTTATTTTTGGTGTGCGCAGGGATGAGAGAGAGGAATGGAGAGTGGGGGAGAGTTAAGCCCTCTTCCTGCAAATGGATCATCAGTGACTGAGGATGCATTGAGCTGCCTGTGCAGAACGACTTGCAATACCGGGGGGCCTAAGACCATAGACGGGTGGAGAAGATGGTTGATGGAAAAGGAAACATAAAGGGGCAATCAGAGGAGACCGGTCAGTGTCACTTCAGGTCATAATCCGCATCTCGTTAACATGGCTTGAGTTGAAGGCAACAAGGCTGCAAATGTTGTGGGGGGATGTGCTCATGAACCACAGCTAGGGTGACCAGATAGCAAGTGTGAAAAATCGGGATGGGGAGGGGGGTAGCAGGGACGTTTATAAAACAAAGTCTCGAATATCGGGGCTGTGCCTATAAAATCGGGTCAACTGGTCACCCTAGCCACAGTGAGGGGCTGGACGGGGGAAACCAGAGGGCAGGCTAAGCCCCACCCCACCGACAGCGCCTGTCCCAACAAACATCAGGCCCAGCTCCAGGAGGAAGGGTAGGGGAAGCAAAGGGCTGGCCCTGGGGCAGGGACTCAGGAGGGGGCGGGGCTGATGAGAGAAGGGGTGGGGCCTAGGCCTGTCAGGGGGCGCGGCCTATGGGAGACAGGGCGGGGCAACATGAGGCCGGAATAGGGGGTGCGGCCTAGGGAAGGGGGCGCGGCCTATTGGAAGTCGGGGCTGACGTAGGGCGAGTCGCGTAGATAGGGGGTGGGGCCTATGGAAGTCGGGGCCAACGCGGCTCGAGGGACGCAGGGGAGGGGCGCGGCCTGAGGCGGGAAGGGGTGGGGGCGTGGCCGGGAGCGCGGCCTGAGGCGGGAGGGAACGGGGGCGAAGGGGCGCGGCCGGCGGCGGAAGTGAGGGGGCGTGGCCGGCGGCAGTGCCCCCCCCCCGCTGAGGGAGAGGGGAGGCGGCGGCGGCGGCGGCGGCGGGTCCCGGGGGGCTGCCGGGGGGCGGGGGAGGCGCCGCCCCGAGCCGGGCGGGCGGGATGCGGCGAGCCGAGCTCCGGGACGAGGGGGAAGCGGCGGCGGCGGCCTCGTACCGGGTGCTCAGCCGGCTGCTGGGCTATGGGGCCGGGCCGCAGCCGGGCGGCGGCGGCGGCAAGGGCCCCGCTGAGGAGGGCGGCGCGGCCGGGGGGCCGCCGCTGAGGGGCTCCCGCCCGCCGCCGCCGCAGCTCATGGTGTTCCGCAACGTGGGGCGGCCGGGCGAAGCGGGCGGCGGCGGGCCCGGCCCCTCGGAGCTGCTCTGCCCGCGGCACCGCTGCGCCCTGGAGCCCTCGGGGGAGCCGGGCTGGGGGGCGCTGCCGCCGGCCGGGCTGGAGCTGCAGCTGGCGGCGCTGGAGCTGCAGCGCGGGAAGGCGCCCGGCGGCGGCGGCGCGGTGCCCCTGCCTCCGCCTGCTGCCCGCGCCGGGCGGCCCGGCCGCCGAGGAGACCAGCGACGCGCTGCTGGTGCTGGAGGCGCTGGAGCCCGACGAGGCCGAGAGCTGCGCCGAGGAGGGGCCGGGCAGCCCGGGCCGGGCCGTGGGCGGGAGGCCGGGGGGCCGGGCCCAGCCGCCGGCCGCCGCCGCCGCCGCCGCGCCCCTCGGCGCTCGGAAGGGCTCGCTCAAAATCCGCCTCAGCCGCTTCTTCCGCACCAAGAGCTGCAGCGGCGCCTCGGCCGGGGGGGAGCCCGCCGCCGCCGCCGGCAGGAGGCGCTCCGGGGAGCTGCCCGCCTCGGCCGGGAGCCTGACCGACGTGTCCAGCCCCCGGGGCCGGGAGCGGGACGCGGGCAGGTAAGGGGGACTGGGGGGGGGGCGCTGTGGGCGGGCGGGCGGGCTTACCGCAGAGGGGTGCGAGGCGCTGGGCGCCCAAGGCGTCAGGGAGCCGAGGGGCCGTGGTCGTGCAGCGTCCTGCTGACAGCTCGGAGGGAGCAAGGCCTTTGGGGGGGGGGATGCCCTCCCTTCTTGTTCTTGATGCACTGGGGTGGGGGGGTTGTGTTTTCCATGCAAGGCTCTGCGTGGGCTTGTGGGTGCAGCTGTGAAGAGTCCGGAGCTGGGGGCACGTGTGAGAAGCAACAGCTTGGGCTGGGCCTAAGGGTATGGGGCGTGAGGCCAGGGTGCAGGCCCTGCCCTATGCTCTTTGTGCAAGGGTCCAGAGAAGCCATATTGGGGAGGTGTGTGCGCGCCAGGGTATACGCCCCTAATGCCAGGGAGGCAGAGGGATGTAGAGGCTGCCTGCCATCGTATGTGCTTTCAGTGTAAGGGGGGGGTGAGGTGGGTATGGGAGATGGCAAGTGCGTGCCATGGTGTGAGGCAGAAGGATGCTTTAGTGTCCATTCACAAGGAGGGGCATGGGGTAGGCTGTAGGATATGTTCCTGTCATTTACGGGAGGAGGTTGGCATGCCCGTTCAGCTCCATGGACAGGCATACGTCAGGAGTGTGTTCTCGGCACAAAGGTCCAAGGAGGGCATGGGTTATGCATATCCAATGTAGTGCTTGTTGCTGTTCAGTCCCTCCTCTGAGGGGCTCATCATTCCCACCAACACAGCTCAGGCACATCAAATGTAGGTGTAAGCAGGAATACACTCTCAGCAATGCTTTGGGAGCAGCACCTGGGAAGGAATAGCTGGTAAATGTCCAGGAGCATGAGCCATGGGGTTTTGGGTTCTTGCTTTGTTGTAGTATCTGGTGTATGCATCCGCAGGGCAGAACTTCTTAGCTGAGGAAGGCTTTAGTTCATCAGGCCATTGATTACTGCTAGAGCTTTCTAACGCCAGCTCTTAGGTTAGTGACTGCAGTCATGGCATGCCTTAAAAAAAACAACAACAAAAAAAACTTGACAGTGGCTAGGCTTGGAGTGTGCTGAGACCACGGTCTGTTGTGCTGCCTATACTAGTGGTCTCCAAACTTTTTGGATCACACACCCCCAGGGCCAGCTCTAGGGAAGCAAAAAAAAAAAAAAAGGGGGGGGGGGAAGAAAAAGAGCTGCTGCTGCCGTGCCACTGAAGACGGAGCGGAGAAGAGCCGAGCTGCCGTGCACCCCCAGGATGCTCTTGCGCGCACCCTGCTTTGGAGACCACTCGCCTTTCCTGGCTCATTGTTTCCTCCCCCCATCTATTTGTCTTTGTCCATTTGCTGTCTCTTGTCTTGTACTTGGATTGACAAGGTGGGAGAGGTGATATCTTTTATTGGACCAACTTCCATTGGTAAGAGAGACCAGCTTTGGAGCTACACCGAGCTCTTTTTCGGGTCTGGGAAGGATAGTCCTCGCATCCCAGCTAAATATGAAGTGGAACAGGGTGTTTAGCATAAGCTGTTAGCGCACATTCTAAGCAACCATTCAAGGTAGAGTGGCCCGTTAACGCCAACTAAACGAACCCCCCTCTTTTTGTCCTAAAATTAGGAAGCACTAGTATCCCAATCTAAATTTTACTGTAGACTTGGTGATACTAGCAGTGCTGCTGTCTCTATCAGCTGGTGACTTTAGGGTTTTGAACCCGTGTTTGAACTGTTCTGTTCTGTTTGTTCCTGGGACGCTAAAGTCAGCACCTATCTCATGAGCCATTGATTAAAAGAATTGTGGAGCTGATCGATGTTATCCAAAGAGCAGCCATATGAGCCTTATGTTCTCCTGGGCCACTTCCAATATGACTTCGGCAATAATATTCAGCGCTGTAGTAGGAATAGTCACATGTGAGCTCTGCATACTCAGTGAACTTGTATTTGTTCCTTTGACAGGCATAAGTTAATAGGGACAAAAGGAAACTGCTTCAGCAGGAGGAGTGAAGTATTTGGGACCAAAAGGGGCTCATGTGGTGGCCTGTTATCTGCTCTCCATGTTACCATGTGGGCTTTGGAGTTCCAAGCTGCCATGGTGCTGCAGGGACTGCATGCTTGTTTCTGCAGCGGGGAATGCTGTAGTGATGAGGTGACATTACTTGGCTTTTGTTGGTGGGGAGGCAGGGAGTGCCTTACTGAGATCTTAAGCAAGTTTCTGGTCAGCCCAGGAGCAGCATTTAATGGACTCTGGAAACAGTCTAGTCCTTGACCAGGAGAATTGATTGGTCTAATGTAAGTCCTTTGGGAAGAGAGGACATATGAAAGATGTAGTTTAAGAGTTTATGATGGGTGAGCAAGAAAATCCCCCAACATCTTAGGTGTGAGTAGCAAACAACCTTTGGAGAGTTGTGGTCCAGAGCACCAGTTTGTGGTAACTGTGCAGCCAATATGCCAAAAACCTTGCTCACCTTACTGATGTAGGCTGGGGGACTGAAATTATTGGCTTCTCCTAAATTGGGGATGTCATGAGTTAGCCTCTGAGATCATATAGCCTAAACTTCTTGGCTAAATTGCAGTGTCAACTTGTTACCACTTAAGGCTCAAACACATTGACCAGCATTAAGTACTGTTAATGCACTTCTGAGATGAGCCTTGGTGATTCTTTACGTGTGGGAGCTCCATTTACCATAAATGAACCTTAGATGGCAGAGAGATTCCATTTGCTTGTAATGACACTATTTTGCTAATGTACTTGTTTATTTCCTCATTCCTTGTTCTTGTTGACCAGAACTGGAAGTCTTTAGGATTTCCGAGAACTGAAATAAAGTGGCGTGAAATTATCAGTTACATATTAACAGATTTAGACCAAAAAGAACATACTGCCACATGGATTCTTCCCTTTGTAGGAGAATGTAATGGTCACTGCTCTTGCAATTTCCAACTCTTACGCTCGGAAGCATGGGATTCTGTACGCATTAGGTAGTATTTTAACAAAGATTAGCTCAATGTGGTGAATCAAAAGGGTCTAGATTTGAACCGTGCCTTCTGTTCACATGGGCACTTTTTCATGGAGCTCTTGTAAGGGATAGGAAAGAGGGCACATCACTGTTGTATTTTGTTCCCGTTCCCCTACTTGCCAGGAGGCTACATAGTCATGGAGCATCCATTGCTAGCTCCTAGAGAGTTTGGCTTTATGCCGTCTCGTGCCAGTGAAGAAGAGTAGGTTAGTCTGGGTTGCTGCCCAAGTCTGCAGCCTTATATGCACAATCTGCTTCTGTGCAGATGTGGGAAGGAAGAAAGGCTGCTTTCAAGGAACCATGTGCTGCATTGCCCACGTTTGCGGGACCTGCTGTGCTGTAGCAATGGGGCACCACCACGGTTCTTACAGCTGCTTCTGCCCCCTCTTTTGTTGGTTTAACCTCCGCTCTGGGGTGTTATGGTGTCTTTTCTCCTTCTCCCAAGCTGCCTCAAAGTACTTGTGTGCTGGGTACCCTTTCTCAACTTTCCCTTCCTCATGGCCAGCGGTGTTCTGTGCAGACTGTTTGTTCTTTGCCCTTGTCCTCACTAGGAGAAAAAGGGAATCTTCAACATTTGTGAAAAGCCTAGTGTAAACAAGGCAATTTATAGTTCTAACACATGTTAGCTGGTTGAAGTAAATCCTATGCTCTCCCTTTGGGTTTACCTCAGTCAGCTAATGCATGTTAATACTGCGGCATGCCTTGTCTGCACCAGGGTTTTAAGATTTGTTAGCTAACGTTAAAATCTTTTTTTAGTATGGACACAGCATTTAAAGTGAGCCACAGATGGCTGACCTGACCAAATTCTATCGCTACTCAGAGCTTTTGGGAAAAACCCGTTCCACGAAGACTAACTTTAGGACTGGGTTCGGAGGGGTAGCCATGTTAGTCTGGATCTGTAAAAGTGGCAAAGAGTCCTGTGGCACCTTATAGACTAACAGACATGCTGGAGTGTGAGCTTTCATGGGTGAATGCCCACTTTGTCAGATGCATGGGCCGAAGTGGGTATTCACCCACGAAAGCTCATGCTCCAATACGTCTGTTAGTCTATAAAGTGCCACAGGACTCTTTGCTGCTTTTAGGACTGGGGAAGAGGCTGCAGCAATCTAAGGGGAATGCTTCTCCAGTTAGTTCAAAGTTGACTTTTGATCCAGTCAAAGGTTGCTATTCTTGGACTTGCGACTTAGCTTTCAGGCAGATTCCTGTCAGTATATCTGACTCCCAGCCCCTTCCTCCTTCCTACATCCTTCCCAAAGAATTCCTGTTCTAAGATACTGACGCTAAGTACGTTTTGTCTCTGTATTGCAGAAGGCTGTTTACCCAGTGCAACTTTTTCTTAAATGTTACTGCTAAGCAGAATCCCCAGTATTTGAAGTTGCGGCCCAGGCAATCCATAGCATTCCGATTCCTTGAGGGACCATGTTACAACTCTGCTTAGTAAATGTAGCAAAAGTTGAAAGGAAAACTGACCCCATTATCTAAGATCAATAGTCCGTTCTGATGAACTGGGGTAGACTTTGACTGCAACTAAATATAGGAATACCTGTGGCAACATTCCTGCCTTTGGGCCTGAGCATTGATATTTAAATGCTGCAACACAGAAATTGCTCTCTGAAGCCATTGTGCACCACTGCTCTATTCACATTAAACTTGGGGATGCAGAGTTAGGCATGGATCCTGCAACTGCATCTGCACAGGCAGAGTCCCAGTGACTTCAGCAAGAGGCTGCCTGCATGGATACAGTTGCAGGCGTGTGGCCCAAGTCTTGTAGCTGGTTTACAGTAGCTAGTTCACATATAGCATCTGCCCACCCAACACTCAAGGATCTGATCTTTACAGTCCCTTCTAACATTCCTTTATGCGTTCATATGCAGAAGATGCCACCTGACCCCAGTGAGGATGACTGGCTAGGACTTTGATCTAAGCCAGTTTAACTTACTACCATCTCTGCCTGTCTGGAACCAATTACAGAAACTGGAAATGGAAAAGACTTAAGTCACCTTGTCCTAACTTACTCCAGAACAATATGAGTTCTCATGGCTGTTGTCTCAGCTGCTATTGATTTGATGGTCACCTGAACCTAAAACATTCTCCTCTGATCTCTAATGATTTAAAGATACCCCTGTCTGAGCCATGTCATCTGTGATATTTGATATGGCTCATCTGATGCTCAGGCTTGCCATTCATGCCATGTGAGCCGCTTGGAAATTCCATCACTAGCATTCTTTAGCAACTGCCACGTTCACCCTAATACCCACTTATGGCTCCCTCAGGACGCCTAGGGGATCTTCTGCAGTACTAAGCTAAACTGATGCAGCGGTGTTCTGTTGCCGGTCACACTTGATTACTGTTAATATTTTCCACCATAATTTGGAGACTCTTGCTGTGCTTGAGGAGAAGAGGGAAAGGAAATGTTAGAAGAGATCATTTGAGTTTAAAAGTAAACTGTAGCAGAGTCCAGTCCTTGTGAATCACTTCTGGATCTGACCCCACTGCAGATCTAGAAGTGGGAAATAACACATGGTGCTTTTTTTACATGATTATAGAATGGTAGTGTAAAAATGTAGCCATTTTAGTAACAGCACAGAGAGGTCCAAGATGTTTCTACTCCTTGCTATTCTCATTCCTCTAGGAATAAAATATGGCTTTAATAATAGATAGAGGTTTAATTCCAAACTATTTTGTTTTTAAGTGATTCCGTAAAAGTGATCAGTATCTAAATGGTGTTTCTCACTACTGTCCTTAATTGCAAAAATAGAACTAAATACTTCCTTCACACCTGTGCTAGCCCATCAGAATCAATGAAGTTACTCAGGTATAAATGAGAGCAGAATTTTGTATGCCCCGCAGAAAAGGCAGGATTATACTTGCATATTCTGCACTCTCTCCGATTTTAATGTGTGGTGATACAAAACTGGAGCTTAGATTTCTATGTTTCAATAACTTGGTTAAATTGATATCATGTTCAGCTTAACACTTTGCAGAAGATGGGAGAGGGCTAACTTTCTCTGAAACTGACCAGCTTCTTAAGAGGCTGGAGATAGGACAGCCAAGGGACAAAGGCACAACCTACTAGTGGATATAAGGGTAGCATTCAGATTGTGGAGAGCACTTCCTTCTTGCAAATCTAAAAATGGAGGTGGAGAAGAAAGCTCATGAGGAACCCAGTCAGCCTTGTAAAATCCCACTTGCCCAGGATGAGAGATTCTCTTGGATGGGCGAGTAAAATATTGGCGTTTCCATCATGGTAAAGATGGGAAAGAAAGGCTTATGTCAAGGCTGGTAAATCTTCATGTCCATGTTACAAGGCTGAATGTAGTAACACATGTTTGTTTGGATGGCACTGCTCTTAAATTGTGAAGCCTGGCACTAAGTAATTGACTCATCCTGCCTGGGTAGAGATTTCTGGAGTAGTGTAGTGTAGGAGGGATAGCTCAATGGAGGGGGGAGGGATAGCTCAGTGGTTTGAGCATTGGCCTGCTAAACCTTGAGGGGGCCATTTAGGAACCTGGGGCAAAAATTGCGGGTTGGCCCTGCTTTGAGCAGGGGGTTGGACTAGATGACCTCCTGAGGTCCGTTCCAACCCTGATATTCTATGATCTTTCAAGTGGCCAGCAGTTGGGTAGAGTCTTGTTAAGACAGTGCACTAGTATTAGCTGGCTGTATGCGATACTGGGAGCTACCACTGTAGAGACATTTATTAGAATTCTGTAGCACGCTTTTAAGATCATGTCTTGCACAAAAGCCAAGATTCAGGCTTGATTTGCCTGGAAACACTCAAGTAGTAGCCATGTACTTCTTACCCCCAACACAGGAACTTTGTCTTGCAGCCTCTAGCATGAAACTACACTTCTGCAAAGCAAACTTTAAACAGGCTAGTTTCTTTATTTGTTGTGGGACAAAAAACTGTTTCCTGTGAGGTTGTAGGCCAGCTGGTCTGCCTGCCGGAGGGTTATTTTTAAACAACAGTTCATGGTCAGCATTGGCTGTGCTCAGATACCAGTGTGGTTGGGCTCTCTAAATAGTACTTTCAAGTATAAAGCAAGGGATCAAGTTAGAGAATTCTGACCACTTTTTTAACTCTGTCGTTACTGTTGCAAGACCACCTCTTGCACAAAGAGCTAGATTTTTAGAAGAGAGCACGGGAAGGGAGACTTTTGAGTTTCAGTTCCCACCTCTGTAATGGACTTGGATCTTGAGCAAGTCACAGCTACTCTGCCTTCGTTTCTCCTATGTTAATTGGTGATAATACCCAACTGTGCAAAGCCCTTCAGGATCCTTCAGTGAAGGATACTGTACAGGCTAATTTTTACTGGGCAGGGGTCGTACATGGCTAAATTTGTAGGCCTCATACTAGGTAAATTTTGGAAAGGAAATTTTAATGGGAGTCCTCAGAGGTACGTTTTAGCTACATTTCCATGTAGCTGAATGGGCTGAGCAGCTTTTCCACGGTTCACCTCATCTCTCAAACTGTCTCAAGGAGGCTGTGTACCTCATGTGACACTTGCATGTGGTGTGAGTGTCAATGCAGAGTTAACTGGTTTGGCATGCCCCATGTAACCTGTAACTCTGTCTTGATCATATGTGTTTCACTAGGGCATCTTGATGTAATGGCCAACCTAGGGAAAGAATTAGCTGCTCATAACACTGCCTCAGTTTTAAATAGGCTGCACGACTCAAGTTGGAGTATATTTGCTCTAACAGTCTAACTGGCATTCCTCCTGAAATTAACTTGTTACTTATCAATTTAGAGATGTGGTATGAAGACTGAGACTTAGCTTTGTGTATTGGTTGTTGTACTTAAATTTTCTAAAGCGGGTGTTCTCATAAATGTTAAACTGCATTGCAAGTATAGTGACTAGGCTCAGTCAGCTTTTCAGCAGATGAAGCTGCAGTTTTGCCAGAGCTGAGAAAGAATTGCTACTTTCCTGTATTCATTCATTAGCTCTTTCTCTCTCTCAACAGGAAACCCCGATTGACAAGAACTCAAAGTGCCTTTTCTCCGGTTGCTTTCAGCCCCCTCTTCACAGGTAAGGATAGAAAGATTAAGTGAAACACTTTATTTTACACTTTTAGGTGTGTTACTCTTTAGATTTAATTACAGAGAATTAAAAGGCTTCCTTTCCATTCATCTATTAAGAGCTATTTAGTCCACCAGGAATTATAATCTCTCAACTCCCTAAAAGAAGAACACAGTGTAAGGCTTGTCTGCACTGGAAAGTTAATGTGGATAAAGGTAGGGTGTGAATTTAAAGCACAGTAGCTGTTCCGTATTAAATGCCTGTGGGGGACACTCTCTTAACAAGAACAGTTAATCAGAAGCAAGTCTGTGTAGACCAGCCCTGAGGAACAACTCCTCCTCATTCTGCTTCATGTTTTTTTTTTTTAATTTTCCGCTGTTGAGAGGGCAACGGAAGTCTGAACTGTGATTCTAGCACACACAGGGCTGTCTTCATTAGACATGCTGGTACTTGTAGCCACAGCAGGATACCCAGTGTGACCTACTATGTTTAAAAGCAGGAATCTTCACGCTGGTGCAAGCCACGCTTCTGTACTGGGTCTTGTACTAGTGCCAGCCGCATCGGTGCAGAGGTCACAGGATCCTGTCTTAGGCACTGTGCAATCACAGCAGTGTGTGTTCCTGCACCAACAAGCATAGTCACGTGGCTCTACTCAGTTGCTGTGCACAACTGAATCCAGAATCAAGGCCTGCTGTTAGAGAAGCTTGCAGTGAGCCAGCGTCTTATCCATTGGGTGCTGAGAAGGGTTGGTTAGATTCCTGTGTCTGTCCTGCCTGAGACTACCTCTCCCCATGACCCAGTGCTATGGTGGTATTAGGTGGGTGCTTGAGCTTGATCTCGGAGTGGAAAAGAGCAGACAGGTTGGAGGACATATTCTGTGTGAGGGGTCCCTTTGGAATGCTTCTTCCCAACTTGTTGGTCTGTAGTGGCCCAAATCCGTTAACTTTTAGGGGATGCTTCAAACCAGTGGGCTTTGCGTGGGCCTTGGTGGAGGGCTGAGGCAGTGCCTCAGTGCAATTGTCTGGGAATGTATGGTGGAAGAAGAGGGGCTGCTGGCTTTGGACTATGTAGACTGCAACTTCAGTATTGTGGTTTTAAGTGTTTCTTGGGATGCCCAGAGCTTTGATTGGTATGATTTTGAGATCAGATTGGCTATAAATAAAAGCAAAGGGCTTCCTGCATATCCCATTTGCTTCTTGATTCAGGTGTCAATAGAAACCCAGCTAATATGGTAATAGGCACATTGAAAGTACGGTACCTGGTGTCTGAAAGGAGGAGGAGTGCACACATACTGATGTCCCTTTATAGGGTTCTGGTCGACCTTTGTGCTGAGCAGTGACAGTGCCGAGAGCTGCCTACCTTGAAGGTCATTTCTTTACCTTGCCTTGAATGGGTAAATGAAGAATTCTGCCTCCTCCCAGCCTTTAGTTCTGGCAGAGTGAGTTGAGCTAACATCACAAATGGAGACTGGTGAGAATTCAAGCCATAGCTCTTCATCTTCTCCATTTCCTCGTGAATTGAGACCCCCCCCCCCCAGAAGTCATTTTGGTAGCAGCACAAGCTTGTTTTTTTCCTGTAACATGCCTAGCTTCTTGTAGATGTGCATAATGTGCATTCATTCTGCAAACCAGAGACTGCCAAAGCCAACACTGCTAACACCAGCTCCTCAGCTGTTGCCAGTGGCCTGGGATCTTCAGAGTGTGTGTGTGTGAGAGAGAGAGAGAGAGAGCGCATGCATATGTGGGAATACAAACCTTGTATAACCTTTTAAGAAATTAAAACTTTAATGGACTTCATCATAATGGGTTTTAAAGTAACTTTTCTCCAGAGAAACTGCAGAGAAGAAACTGGAAATGACTAAATTGATCACAAGTTTGAAATCACTTTAATTTTGCCAGTGAATGAATGTTGTGGCTGGTTTTGTAACTCAGGTTTTTCCGATTAGCTATTTAGAAGATTTTTTGTAACTTTGTTGAAACTTTCTGTAATCTGGAGACTGTCATCTCAAGACCTTTTCACTTACATAAGACCATGCCAACTTCCTCAAATGGTCTTGTGTCTGGATTATTGATATCTTTATCTGCTCACAGACATCAGGTTCTCTTATGCAAAACACTGGGTAGTTCATTTGCTGATTTAAATGGGACTTTTCCAAAAATTGACACTCACTAAGGATGACCTAATTAGAACCTGCTTGGACCAAGCTGCGTGGATCAAAGAGGGGCCTCATACCTGATTTGTCCAAAGGCCTTGGAAATCAAAGATAAGGGCAAGAAGCCTGCCTTGCCTTCCAGGTCAATAAGCTACCTATGGGGAGGCTTATGTTCAAGAATCTCCAAGACTCATCACCTTGGGGTGGGGAAGTCAGGACCTCAACTACCAGGCCACTCCTTCCTTTGCCAGTTTCTCCCTGCACCTGGAGGCCCACTAGCAGGAAATGCTGGATCCTTAATTAGCTAGCTTCTAGTCCAGAAGACTGAGAGCTGATGCATTTGCAGCCCCCCTTACGTTAAGTATTTTTATTCTGTCTTTTGTTTTACTTAGCTTTATTTTTAGGGGGTGGCAGTGAAAGTGTAGCTGTAGGCATGGAGGTGTGAGCCCCCACACGTGGAGAAGGCACCTGAAAGAGAGAAGCTACCCAAGTAAACCGCCTTCAATCTTGTTTCCTAAAATTATTCAGTGTGTTCTGTTTAAAAATCCACAGACTTGAGATTGCCATCTGTAATTTCTGGTAAACAAGAGTTGTCAAACTTCTGCTTATCCAGAGTTCTGTTAAGTGGGCTATCCTTTTTGTTCAGTGTTTACATAGTGCTTGGCTGGGCTCCTGAGTGCTACAATAGTGCAAATATTACATCTTGAGAGGGCTTGAGAGAGTTAGCTGCCCACAAGAATTGAAATCGAAGGAAGGAAGCTGTATAATTGGCTCTGAGGTGGTGGTTCAGTTTCAGTATTAAGATATTTAACCAGCCGCAAGTTATGGATTTGATTGACTTTGAAATTGTTTAGCTGGAATTTATAACTACACAGACAGCCACCTGCTTAGAATCCTCTTTAGAATTTGAGGCTTGGTTATTTTTAGTATTTGATGTGAGTCCAATCCAATAGTGGGACTAACTTGTGGATTTGTCAGTTGGATTGCTTTAGTCTTAGTTTAGTTTAATAATAGTAGTTTAGCTTTGGTGATGTTTCCTTGATTTTATTCAGACGTGTTTTAACACATGTATAAAAAGTCACGCTACTTTCACTGGCAATGGGGGTCCAGAACCTTTGAGCACCTGGGTTGATACCAGCTAGGTAACCTAAAAGCCTGATCAGCTCTCCCAGTTATTTGGTTCAAGCAGGACGTTGATCTTAAGGGCTACTCCGCAGCAGTAAGCAGGTGTTTTAACCCAAAATCACTTGATTCTGTAGGCTGTTGGTGGGCAAACTCCCCTTGAAGTCAACAGGAGTGTTGTCTGTAAGACTTCTGGCAGGGATGGGTAACTTTAAGATGGTAGAGGGCCACAAAATCCTCTAAAACCCTTTGGCAGGCTGGGGTGTGTGACCTGGGGTTGGGTCCCGCACCTAGGAGGTGGCAGCCCCTGAGGGGGTGTTAGAGGGTGAGCCAGCCCCACACTTACCCTGAAGTGGTGACTCCTGTACCATGAGGCTGGGGCTGGTACCCCACTGTGGCCCATTAGCTCTCACCACAGCATCACCTGACCCACATGGCTACATGTAAGGGAGGCCCTCCCCCCATGATGCCTCATCCTGCCCCCTTCTTGGCCATTGCACCTGCCCCAAGCTGGGCTGTGATGGGCCAAATAAAATGATTTGGCAGGCTGTTTGCAGCCTCTGGGCTGCTAGATGCCCATCCCTGGCTTATTGAATCTGGCCTCAGGTACCAATGCATGAAATTGGTCTTTTAAACCACTTCATGAGCATTAAAGCCATAGAGAACTTCAGGGGAGTCTTTGTCACGCTGTGGTGGTCAGCATCTGAATCTAGAAATCAGAAGTACCCACCGAAGCATATTGAGAGTTAATATCATGAGAGCAAGAACGTGATCAAAGAACTGCCACTGAAGTATTGCTGACTATCTTCCACTTGGGGTGGTCGGTGGGAAAATATCTTTTATAGCTAAAAACATGAATGTGTTATTAAGTCCAAAATTTGACCGTTTCATCAGATGTGCCTTGGGCTACTGGAGTCTTTCCATTTGTGTCTAGCAAATACCTAGGAGTGTGCATAAAATGCACGTTAGGAAGCATTGGCAAGAACTGGTTTGTTTAATGTAGCAAATAGAGTTTAAAAAAAGAAAACAAAACCCCTCCAGCTCCTTGCTTGGAACACCCTTCTGCAGTATGCCTCAGCCACCCAAACACACTGCCTGTTGGGTCAGCCTGGAAATCGTGCCTGTTAATAGCCTTCAAAATGACTGAGTCTGTTGTGTTATTGGAAGACTTTCTACTGTGTATGCTGAACTTAGGTTGGGTTCACTAGCATGCATCGGTATTTGCCATTTGCTCGCACTTGGCTATTGCTTAGAGCCTGACCCTTGAGCTGCTGTGGCAGAGTTGTCTTAAAATCAGTGCAATGGGGAAATTCAACTTGAAAGTATTTAATGTGAGACTGAAGCAGAGGCCTCTGTCCTGTGTGGAAACTGGCCTCCAAAACTTTTTAAAGCCACCTCCTTGCTGCTTGACTCTGTCTTCCCTTTGCATGCTCTGGAGAAGGTGCAAACTCTTACCAGTCTCTCTCGATGAATCCTTCAGGTGAAACTGTGTCACTAGTGGATGTGGACATCTCCCAGCGAGGACTGACCTCGCCTCACCCTCCGACTCCTCCACCTCCACCACGGAGAAGCCTCAGCCTGCTAGGTACTCTACATACATCCCCCCTAGAATTTCCTTCCTGGTCGTGTGTGTGGCTGTAAGTAGTAGGGACTGAATTATTTTTCCATTTTGGAGTACAATGCAGGCTCTTACAGGATCCCTTCCGATAAACTGATCTCTACTTCCCAAGCAAAGAATTTCTTCCAGTCCCATATCCAGTGCTGCTGCTGTGCATAGAACACTGTGAGGTGGGCCCTTTCTCCTGGGTTTAGCATGCTAACTCTACAGCACTCCCTGGCTTCTTGAAACTCAAACTTGCATGTCCCTTACGTGGCTGCATATTGGGCTGCCGTTAGACATTCAGAAACCTATTGATGTTCTTAATCTTGTATTGGCAGCCATGTTCTCCCTAAATACCCAGTTTAGAAACTAACTTCTTGATTTGCAGGAGAGGTGGTGTATGTATCCAGGTGACAGAGAGAGACAAGTTCTGAGGTTACATCAATATCTGCTCTTCAGAGAAGCTAGTGAAAGACTGAGCTGTTGGCTAATGTTCCATCCGTTCCCCTCCCGCTCAGCGCTGTAGGCGGAGCTGGACACTGGGCTTGCTCTTGCTCCATTGGCAGGTGCTTGGCGATGTAGCAGCTCGCTTACTTTCCTATATTCTGAACTTCTCTTGCTTTTGTTCTCTTCTAGATGATATCAGTGGGACGCTGCCTACATCTGTTCTAGTGGGTCCGATGGGGTCTTCCCTGCAGTCTTTCCCTCTGCCTCCGCCTCCTCCACCCCATGCCCCAGGTCAGCTTAGTTTTAGTGGCAAGGCTGCGTTATGCAGAGATCTGGACTAATCTGTTTTGGCAAATGTCTGGCCTTACTGAAGTCTGTATTGCCTGTAAGAACGATAGCAAGGGTTGGGTGCTGCCCCCTTAGCCGGTTCAGCTAATGCAGGATTGAGCTGGTCTTCTACCCATGTTGCTACATACTGGGACATGGTTGAGTCAGACCTCTAGGTTCCTTTTTAAACTATTGATTTGTACGTGCAGTCTGTCTGCATTGCTCATAATAGCCTAGTTACCCTCTTCCATTTGACAACTCTCAAATATCCACTTCCTCCCTTAAATTCAGCAGAACTGGAATGTGCATGAATCACAGCCTCTAGTCCTAAAATGGCTGCAGGATGCACTGCGTGGCCTAATAGGTGTCTTCTCTGATCACTGGGGCCTCTTGTCCGCTAGTGTTAGTGTAGTTCTGGGAATAGGGCTCAACACTTGCTCCCTAGGCTCAAAAGACGTCCTGTTTTGTAGCACTGGAGTAAAATCACACACAGGGCTCTGCAGCTACCTGGCTCTATCATTTAACCTTCCGTTTCCTATCTTCCCGCGTCTAATTTTTTAAGCTGTCAAATTTTAGGCCTAAGCTACTTTGACAACATCCCTTTCCAATCAGTTTTAAAAGCAGGTGAAAAGGCCTTGGCGTTTCCATGGACAGCCCTCTGAGGGGACACCGGTGAATAGCTGGTGAAGACAATGAATTAGTTGCCTTGGAGTTGCTACCCAGGTTTCCCCACTCTGTCCTCATTCCCAAGGACACTGTCCATCCATCAGTAAAGCTTCTTTTTTTATGCCATGGCTTCACTGCGCCTGCTTTGTCCTCGAGAATCCAGGGGCTGTTTGGGGAGGGCGGCTCTTATTCTTTGCAGTATTGCTTGTCAATGAGTGACTGTTGCCTGCCATTGTTGGTGGTTTCCCTGCAGATGCGTTTCCCCGGATCGTCCCGTTCAGACCGACAGAGGCAGTGAACAGCCAGACCACCCAGCATCTTCAGTGTCCTCTCTACCGACCAGATGCAAGCAGCTTTGCAGCTAGCTTGCGAGAATTGGAAAAGGTAAGGGCTTCATGCTGGGTCTAGATCTGGGGTCACTCTTACAAGACCTCCAGTGGGCAAAGGCTCTCCATTGTTGGACTGTTTGTGGGTTAAGTCAGAAATCAGCCTTATGGGCTTCATTATTTCCCCCATATGGATTTGTAAGCGTGAGATGGGGATAGGACAAAAGGAAAGATATGTTCCCCTAACAATAGCCCTGCCAGTGATAAATTCCTCACTTATATATCCCCACCAGCTTTAGAAGCACTTGGATGTAATCGGAAGAGGGGTAACGTCTTCCTTATTTGGGTAGCTTGCATGTGTAAAGAGATGTTGCTTGTATGTGGTAGAAGGACATGATGGTCTTGTTTACTCTAGGAAATGGACTTATTGCTGTCAATGATTGTTGACCATGTCTCTTCCTGGACTAGTGATTAAACTGGTTTATCTGCCAGTATAGCTAGAACAAAATGGTTTAATGTGGTTTGACTTTCTGTCAGTGTGCCTAAGTTTGCTCTTAAGGTGTTCCCCAGCAGCAGGTTATGGGGGACCTGTGGCTGATACCTTTGGTCAGCATCAGATGATTTCCCAGAGTATGTTGGGTTGTTATTGGCAATTTATGCCAGGATGCTAAACCGCTCCTCTTGTGAAATACTAGCCTTGCCGAGGAAATGCTTCAGCACTACTTTTGCCAACAGCTACAGACAATGCTAAACTGTTAATTTTTCCTGGGAGTGCACTGGTGCTAGGATGGGGCAGAAAAGACTGACAGTTCTTCGAATCCCTTGATGGTTGAGTTAAGCTGTTTAGTACAGAGCTGTTAATGGGCAAGTGCCTTTCTGGCTTACCAGAAGTCTGAAGACCTTTTTGCACTCTCTACTGGTAGTGTGGTTGGTACTGGGGACCAATGAACTGGGAAGATGCGGAAATGAAGCTGAAGGGGAAACCAGATGGATCCTTCCTGGTACGAGACAGTTCCGACCCTCGTTACATCCTGAGCTTAAGCTTTCGATCACAGGGTATCACCCATCACACCAGAATGGAGCACTACAGAGGTAAGAGCAGCAAGGTTCTTGGAATGGTCTCATTCACTGGGATGTGGCTCTGGCCCCATCTGCTAATCAGCTCTGCGCTGCAACTCCATCTGTCTGTGTAGGAGCCCAGAACAATGCATTGTGCGTAGACCTGCTTGCAAAGGGGAAACTGAATGCCTTGCCCTCTGCTTCTATGCTAAACTGCAGACCTCAGTGAGGGTTCTGTAGTGGGTTGATCCCAGAGGCGCTAATGAAGGCCCTAAATGGAAATATTTGCTCTAATTCGTGTGTGATTGATTCTGTTAAAAAAACCAAAAACAAAAAACCCTTTCTACTCTCTCATGACAGGGAAGGCTAAATAAGGAGCCATTCACCTCATGAGTTGTCACAGCACACAGACCAGCCTAGGTTACCGCCGTGTCTGCGGACTGTTCTTGTCATAGTGATCACAGGCTTAGTGGCCAAGGGAGGATCCTGGGCTGTGAATATTCCATTTAATCCCTTAACTCCTCTGAACGGCATCTTCCCATCCCTCTCCTTCTCAAACATCACTCCATTGAGAAACTGAGCAATATAATAAAAATCCTCTAGGCCCTTTTCCTCCATGCCCATTCTGCATGCTTCACTTTGGGAAAGCTTATTAAGAAGGAGCTAATGGACTTGCAAAGTTGCTGTGCAAGAAAATATGAAGGAAAAGCTTTATTGATTCATTAATAGCTTTAAGGCCAGAAGGGACCATTGTGATCATCGTCTGAGCTGCATAGAAGACCTAGCTCAGGGTGTAATCATTGTACCTTGTTCTTACGGTATTTGGGTTGTTGGAAACTAGCAAGGCTAACACTTCGGGATGATTTAGTCTTGGTGTTTCACCGGTTAAATGGGAGCTGATCATGGGATGTCATTGCTGATGAGTTACTTTGCCTTTGGTCACTTTCACACTTACTGTATAGGGGCAGGACATCAGCATTCATGCATCTGGCTGGTACAAACTGCCGATATCCAAGCTGAGACTCTAACTTGATCTTGTGGCTTTTCTATTCTGAGAACTCTTTGCTTGTTGCTTGTACCAGCTTCCTGCCTCATTTGTCATCTTGCTGAAGGATACTGCCCGCCCCCCCATCCCCCCCCAGCATTTGCATTTCAAATGTGGTTTTCTGCGTTGGGACTGTGCACAAAATGTTCTGGAGGGTAGCAAAATCTGAGATACTCAATGTTTTGAGGAGGGGGAGGGATAGCTCAGTGGTTTGAGCATTGGCCTGCTAAACCCAGGGTTGTGAGTTCAATCCTTGAGGGGGCCATTTAGGGATCTGGGGCAAAAATTGGGGATTGGTCCTGCTCTGGGCAGGGGGTGGACTAGATGACCACCTGAGGTCCCTTCCAACCCTGATATTCTATGATTCTACCATCAAAACAAGTGGTCCCAAGCAGTCTTTAACTAGGTGCACAAGCACCAAAGTACTTGGTAACCTCAGTGGATACCAAAATTAACCTCTAAAGACATGCCTGCAAAAACGGTTTCCCTCTCAGATTGCCTAGCCCATGTCCCCTTTAGACAGTGTCCCTTGCCATAAAGCTGGAAAGGGCAGATGCTGATAGCAATTTGTAATTTGAGGCCTTCTTGACAAAAGTTCTTGTACAGTGACTCTCTCCTACCATGAGCAAGAGCTGGAACAAGTTTTCTTTGCTGCTTCTCAAGTTGAACACCTCAAGGATGAGAGGTCTCTGTTACAAGAGCTTCATTCCTGTACTTCTGTAAGGCTGCTACCCTTCACTCGGTGTTGCCCCCTCTGTGAGGCCATAATAAATCACAACTGTGTACATGTCTGGTTGTATCCCCCCTTCCCAACTATCCTTCACAAGTTGCTTAGACACTGGTTCATCAGAGCACCTAGACTGTGTGCCTAGCTATTAACATGTGAGTAGTTTTATTGATTTTTAAATGGGATTACTCATGGTTAAAGTTAAGCGTATGCTTAGCTGCTTTACTGGATTGGGACCGTAGATTATAAACTGCTTGGCGCATAGTCCATTAATAAAACTTTCAAAAGTAACAGACAATGAAGAGCCGAAGTTTCATTAAAAGTCAATGGGACCTAAGGTCCTAGGTGCCTGGGGTTTTGGCTCTTAAGTAACTAATGTGCTTTTGAAAATGTTACCACCTGTCTTTGTGTACTATAATGAGACCCTGATTTGGGCCTCTGGGGCCCAGTCGAATATAAAATACGAATTACAAAGCTCAGAGCTGCCTCTCCACTCCAACAGTCCGGTCACCCACAGCAGTTCCCAGGAATAACCCTACAGAAAGACCCCAGCACTCCTGTTTGTGTAATTAACTCTACACTTACACTAGGACTGGCTGAGCTGCCTGCTGAATGTGCTACAGCTGATCTGAAACCTGCAGAGCTGAGCACTTTGTTAAACCAATGAAAGTGACAAGTGGCTGAGCTAGAGGAATGGTAAATGGGGAAATATTTGACCTTCAGATTTCAGGTGGGTGAAAAGGCACAGTCGGACATTTATTTGTGCCTAGGGACTGTAGTATACATGCCACATAAAAGCTTCCTGAGCAACGTGCAGGCAAAACTATGCAAACTATTCCTTGATCTTCCTGTGGCAGGTGGATTTTTAGAGCCTGGGGTTTATACTATACTTCTGGGGGGTTATCAGCTCAGCGTTACTAAATAGCTGTTCCTGAATAATTCCATGTGTAGGCAAGCCCCAAAGGCGGAAATTTGCACTGGGATAACTACATTGATTTAGCTGCACCTTGGCCAGTCCCTAATTTAAGAGCTCTCTGCACGTCTCTAAAGCCAAATTTACGGATAACGTCTTGGTTTAAGTTGCAGCATTGCAAGCCCTGCTCTGTGCCAGTACCCCATGTCTGCATTAGGGGTCTGCCCCACGGGGGCACCTACCTTGGAGTAGGTGCACTGGTGTTCACATCTCTAATGCCTTCGAGTTGGCCCTAGATGTAGCTCTTGGGGATGTTACCTCTGCTGTTCTGCTGGAGCTGTATTCTATACTGTGCCCTCCTGAGGTACTTCTCAGTCCCTGTGCTTGGTCCTCCATTGCTAGGAGTCTGCTCTCTGCTCTGGTCACACGTTCCAGGCAGAGGGAAGGAGCAGACCTGGCACTGTGGGGTGCACGGATAGCATACCTGCAAGCGGGGGGGTGAGTGGGCCTGCATCTTGGTTGGGGAGGAAAGTTGTCTTCAGTCAGCGCACAAAGAGGTTGAGAGAATGGTCTTGGATGGCTCCTACAGGTCAAACTAACCTACTGAGAGATCTCAAAGTAGCTTCAATGGGGGAGGCTCTTCCCAGTTTCATCATTTCCAACCCTAGCTTAGTGCAGAAATTGTATCAACAGGGCAGCATGGGAGAAACTATCACTATACTTAACCCTGCCACTAGGGTGAGAGGGCAGGGTTGGACTGAAGCATGTCATAACATGGGGCCACACCATGCCTGCCTGTAGAGGTGATGGCCAAAGGGTCTAGAGACATGGGCTCCCCGGTACTTACTCCAACAGCTGGGATGTATCTCTTTGAGTCGGCTGGGTTCACTGTACACCTGCTGCAGCCACTTTCTTCTGTTGGTATTGTTGGGGGCCCTTTAGAGCACACCCCCTGAGATGCAGTGGGGCAGGTCACTCAACCTTCAGCAATAGCTCTGAGAGACCTGCAGATTCATGGAGAAATCACTGCAGCAGGTACACTCAGGTCACATTTTTTGGGGTTTCTTTACAACAGCAAGAGCTAGAGGTGCCTTTAAGCAAAAGCGTACTTGTCTGTGGGTGTCGGTGGCGTGGGCATGGGTTGTAATGCCAATGTCAATTCAGCTCTGTGAGAGTCTAGCCCAGTTGCTGGCCTATCTGCTGAAATTGCCAAGAAGTACACCAGTGATAGTGGTGACTTGGTCATCTGTCCTTTGGGGACATGAGTGAGCAGTGCAGATCACCGAGTCGCTCTCCTCTTCCCTGCCAACCCCTTTGTAATACAAACCATTTCTTTTTGGAAGGAACCTTCAGTCTGTGGTGTCACCCCAAGTTTGAGGATCGCTGCCAGTCTGTGGTGGAGTTTATAAAGAGAGCAATCATGCACTCGAAAAATGGGAAGTTCCTTTACTTCCTGCGATCCAGGGTTCCAGGTGAGTCTTGCACTTAAAACTACTTACAACTTTTGTGTGTGTGTGTGCATTTGATCTGTGATCAGGCAGGACAAGTCCTAGAGCTGTGTGTGTTGGGCTCTGGTTTCGTGCGCTCTGACCAATACAATAACAAGTGTTCTCGCGCATCCGCTTTGTATGTGCGGCTGAAAAGAGAGTCTCTCACCCACAGCTGGTTGTGGAAATAATAACCTTCCCCCAGGCGGGAGCTCATATCAACATCTCCCACACCCAGGAAGTGCAGGGATTACTGGGTAATCTCTAACTTTTTATCCACTTTAAACGAATGACATAGGTATCTGCCCCCATCCTTTGCAGTAGCCCTGGATACCTGCACTGGTAAGAAACACTTGTTAGCTAGTTCTTTTCATCACTAGCACAATGGTAATGCATAGCTCATTGCTATTACAGATGTGGCTGTACACGCTAGACAATGGACCCATCCCCTCGACACAGATTTCCTAGTGCTCCACGGTGCACATCACATCATACGCCTGGTTTTGTAGCCAGTTAACTGGTTGCTAAAACTTTACTGTTTCCACCAGTCTCAATGCTGCTACTCCTTCTTGCAGGCAGCTCAACACTTCACAGCTCTCCAGTCCTCCCCTTGATCTCGCTGCGCGGAGACACACTAAGCAGTGCAGATGCTTGGGAAGGTTTCCAAGTGATGAGCTAAATGTGAGCCTCAAGCAGTCACTACTGTAGATTCATAGTCCCTTGGGGAACAGCAGTGCTGGAATACATCCGTGCTTGCCACAAGAAGGGAGCATTAGTGAGGCTCTGTCAGTGCATGTTTGATTATGGTCTGCTAGGGAACAGGCTTCCTGCAATTCCAACCCTAAAGTCAAACTCAGTACGCTTGCTCATGGTTCCCAGCTGCCCCAGTGCAATCGGACAGCAGAACTTGCGCTCATGTTGGGATGTTCCGTCACCGGCTCCTTCTTCCCCCTGTATCCAGAAGCTGATGGGATAAATCCAGCATGAAAGGAAGAAAATACTTCTGTAAAGTGAATAAATGTTAAACTGATTTGAAGGGGGCAGTAATGGGGTACAGAAGTTCAAGTGGGGATGCACAGTGACCCCTGAATTAAATGGCTGGAGAGTGAGGAATCGGCACATTCAGCCACGCTCACATAGGAAGTTGCAAAGAGCTGGACGTGAAGGGGAGCGTTATCTATACAGGTGTGAAGATTGAGAAGAGTGACAAGGGTGTGAACTTACATCTTGTATTGCAGTCCTAATTAGTGAGCCCAGATAAGATTGGGGCTCCATTGTGCTAGGCCCTCTGCGTAACTAAGGCCCTTCATTTTGGGGTTTTTATTAATTTCCTGGGAATTTCAGTGTTTGGTGAAAATAGATAAAAACTGTCCGTTGACTCAACCACAAGTCCATCCTTCCTCTTCGGTGTGTGGGGAGCCCATAAGATACATATGCGCACACCATGTCTTGGAGTAACTAATACAGCTCCCCGTACTCTTGTCTCCAACATACTGCCATGTGCTTAGACCTAAAAGATTCTTTTCTTCCAGACCCCAGACCTCCATGAAATCTCTCCTTCCTCTCTACAAGGAGAGTAGCTTATTTAAAAGCAACTTACTCCAGACAAGTGATCATTCCCCAGTGTAGGAATGGTCGTTGAATGGCACTGCTCGCCTCTCTCAAACTGCACAGTTGGCCCTGCTGTCTCATCTGGATCTTACCACTTTCCTTGCGACTCCCCACTGGGGTGCATCCTGAATCTGAACAGGTTATGCAGCCCCTATGCCAGCAGTGATTTCTGACCCTTTAAGAACAAAGCGCTGTTACCTGGATATCTGGTGTGGTCTCCCTGAGTCAGAGTGCCTTGGATCCATATCTCCTCTGCACTTGTGTATGCTATATTGCAGCAGAAATGTTGTTAACCTCTTGGTGTGGGGGTTTCTATTGTGTATCTGGCTGTTAGCAGCGAGGCAGATGGCTAGCGCAGTATGCAAACCTCTTGCTGTGTCCCTGTAGTTCCTGGCTGAGCTCCCAGAGGCTTATTCCTCTTTGAGGGGGAAGGGGGAGGAACCCTCGATTCCTTTTCTTTGCTTTCTCAAAAGCTGTCTCACTGCTTCCTGAGCTGCCTGGAGAAGTTGCAAGCCCATCTTAGTGTGAAGAGCTTTTGCCTTCTCTTCTTTCACTCTGCTCTGCTGGCCTCAGAGGCTTCAGTCAGAAAACGCCCTGCCAGCAGGAGGGAGTTAGAGTGGAACTAGCACTGAATCCTTCTGAAAAGACAGATAAAACACAGCCCTGCTGCTGCTGACCTCTCAGCTCTGTGAGTTCAGACCCACCCAAGCTAAGGTCAGGGAATCTCGGAAGGGGGGAGGTAATGTGGAGAGGGGGAACTGGATGCAACTCCACTGGCAGCCATTCAAGGCTGTTCCGTGCATAGGCTGACTCCAGTGATTCAATGCAGTTCCTGCCCCCAGGGCTTGACACTGCTGCTGCCTTTATGCCCAGCCTCCTGGCCTCAAGAGTGAGTGATTTACCCCATGGTTTGAGGCTCACTCCAACCTGCCCTTCCCAGTGCTGGTACAGCTGTTCCCTGGTTACACTGTGGAAACCCTCCAGTTCAGTCCCCTCCTTCCCCTCCCCCATGATGCCCGTGTTCTTGAAATGTGATGTTTTTCAAAGCCCTGTTGCTTTCCTGCGTAAAGTGACGCTTCGGCTACTGCTGATTCCGAGAGGGCTTGGTTGGAAATGCGCACAGTCCTAGAATCTGCTTCACTGCTGGAAATGGCAGAACTGATGGGGCATTAATCAGAGGGGACTGTTCTCCCCGGATTTGCTCATGAGCCTGGCTCCCATCCATGTAGAACATGGCCAGCAAACCCATGCAAACTGAAAGCAATGGCTCCCTCCTCTTGAAGACTTTCCATTCCCCTGTGTAAAGCAGTGCCTTGGTTTCCTCTATCTCTGGGGCCAGTTCGCTCCCTCCTGGTTTTGATAAATAACTTACTTTGCTTCTAATAAAGCCGTACCTTGTTCTCCTATGTTTTGTTTTAAGGTCTCCCTCCAACACCAGTCCAGCTCCTGTATCCTGTCTCCAGGTTCAGCAACGTCAAATCCCTCCAGCACCTTTGCCGCTTCCGGATCAGGCAACTTGTCCGCATAGACCACATTCCAGAGCTCCCACTGCCCAAGTACGTTCTCATGGCTGGGGTGGGTGGGGAACTTTTCTGGTTCTGGGCCTAGACTCTAGAGGGCAAATCTTAGCATTGCAACCCCTTCCCTTTTCCTCCATTTGCTTGTTGGTACCTTACGTGACAGCTGTAGCATTTAGCCATGGAGCAGTGCGAGAGGAAATCTATGTGTGTCGCTGGGAAAGGGGGGACATTGGGCAGGAGCAGCCACCTGCTTGCCAAGGCGAGGAGCTGTTGGAGCAGGGACGGCAGGCGGAATGACAGGTAGCAGCAGCAGACGAACAGACAGGAGTGGTGGCTAGCTGATGAATGGGGACTGTGGAGTCTTAGATGGCTCGCTTTTCTGGCTGAAGACCCCCTTGCTTTCCTGTTCAGTGTTGGCACTATTGGCCATGGGTGGGGCGGCAGGAGGAATCTATCTGTAGCTTTCTTTAAATGTTCTGACTCATCGCTAAGGTGTCTGCTCCTGCCTTTTCCAGGCCTTTGATCTCCTACATCCGGAAGTTCTATTACTACGACCCCCAAGAGGAGGTGTATCTGTCACTGAAGGAAGCTCAGCTGATTTCAAAACAGAAGCAGGAGACTGAATCCTTGACGTAGCGAGGCTGCCTCGCCCATCTTGTCACTGTCACAGACGGTAAAATCCACTTGGCCATCCCAACCGTTATTCCATGCAGTTTAAAAAAAATCCTTGCTATCCTGTTGTTTTAGGGAAAGTGCGAGGAAATCCCAGCTAGGAGGTCAAGGCTCATCCTTGCTGACCAGGGTTTATCCTGGGGCTTGCTCCTTCTGGTCCCTTGGTTAGTGTGCAGGAAGATAACAATGTTCTGGTGTTTCATCTCTGATAGGGCTTGAATGGGGGGGGGTTGGTGGTGGTGGTGCGTCCTGCCTCTGGCACTGTACACAGAGGTGGTCTCCTAACTAGCCAGGACCCAAATCACATAAGACTGGATGAACACATTGGAAGTCAGTGCAGGATACAGAGCTTTCCCCTCACACACACACACACACGTGGTCAGGGAGTGAGCTCAGGCAGCTGCTACAGTGACAAGGAAGCTGCAATCTAGGAATGAAGACTGAGGGAAATACCTCGTAAGTAGAGAGTGGTTTTCTCCATTTCAGTGAGGGCGGGTGGGGAGCTGGAAGCTTGCTGATAGCCTTGAGTTTTGGGACACTGGAAGCTCGGGAGACGCCTCTCCTTCTCTACAAGACTTTTCTGCCGGCTGCAAAAGCAAATTGTTGGAGAGAATTGATTAACTGGGGAATTAATTAATCTAAGATTATTTTCCCGGTGCCCGAGTGGACTGACCTCCGCTAATTTATCTTCCTGTGAAGCTCCTTGGCACACCAGTGTATGCAGAGGAATCCTAATGACTCTTTAAATGGTATTAAAATGGATGGAGGGAACTGGGGGGTAGGGGAGATCACCAGAAACCTGAGTTGGAGGCAGTGATTAGGCTTAGTATTAACTGCATACACAGTTAAATTAAATTTCAGCCCGGCTTCCTTTTCGTGTGGGCTGACAGTGCCAGGGCACTGGGTTAAAGCTCAGCACAGTGCACTGTGTCGTGAGTAGGAGGTGAAGCTACCTTTTCCTTCCCCTTTTTTTAATCTAGAAGACAAAGGTTCCTGGGTCTGATTCTGTGCCAGGTCTCCAAGAGGTGCAGTGCAGACCAGGGAGAGAGAGGGATAGGTTGCTTTATGGCACTTTTGGGCCCTCCAGGTTCTAAGCTTCTCCAGGGATCAAAACAACCCAGGCCTGGAGCAGAGCAGTAGCCCATCCCAGTTTGCCTATGGACTGCAGCTCTGTCAAAAATCCCTGCAGTGCCAGCTCTTGAAGGTCCATCCCAGCATGCCATCTATACTAGAGCTTGCAAGGAATGGACAGCATTGGATTGTTTATGGCAGCAATATGCTGTCTGACCTGTGGGATGCTCTCTGGTCCATTGTGGCTGATTAACAGCCCTTAGACATCGCTGAAGCAGGGTGATGACAGAATCTATCCCCATGTGCACTTTATCAGATGGGACAAGTTATATTTGATAAGGGGAGGTAGATGCTAGGCCTATATCAAACATGCATGGTAAAAATAAAGAGCAGTGCAAAGGCTGGGGGAGGCAGTCTAGCCCTTCTGACTTAGAGAGGAAATGTTGCATTCATGATGTGACTCTGATGGCTACCATAGTGCTAACTGGCATTGGAGTCTCCAGGCTTCTCAGAGACTTCAACTTTCTTGAGGGCGAGGGCGCCTTTGAATTGGCTCAGGATTTTGTGGCCACCATAGGCCTATCCTAGGTGGCTTAGGCCTCCATGCATGGAGTGAGGCATGTGCTGGATCTTGTTTCCAGGTGGGGGTTGGTGACTGAGGGTGGATGAGAGTTAAGTCTTGATCATTTCCAGATTATAGGGTGGGATTCGAGGCGAACATTGGGGAAGAACAAGTTAAGAATTAGACAAATTAGATGTCTTTTGTCAGGCCCTGCTGACTTGAAGGATCTTAGAATACTTAAGGAACTAGCTGAAGAGATCTCTGAGCAATTAGCTATTCTCTTGGAGAACTCATGGAGGACAGGAGATGTCCCAGAACTGTAAAAGGGCAAATATAGTACCTATCTATAAAAAGGGAAATAAGGACAACCCAGAGGATTATAGACCAGTCAGCTTCACTTTGGTACCCAGAAAGATAATGGAGCAAATAATAAGTTTGTAAGTGCATAGAAAGATAAGGTGATAAGTAACAGTCAGCATGGATTTATGAAGAACAAATGTCAAACCAACCTAATATCCTTTTTGGGAAAAAACAGTAGATGTGAACTATCGCGACTTTAGTAAGGCTTTTGATACGGTCTCACATGACCTTCTCGTAAGCCCAGTAGGGAACTATAGCCCAGGAAACCACCTATAAGGAGGGTGCCCACCTGGTTGGAAAAACATACACTCAGAGTAGTTATCAATGGTCAGTCAAGCTGGAAGGGCATATTAGGTAGGATCCTACAGGGATCTGATCCTAGGTCCAGTTCTGTTCGATATCTTCATAAATTATTTGGATAATGGCATAGAGAGTCCACTTACAAAGTTTGCTGGGCAGGGTTGCAAGCTCTTTGGAGAACAGAATTAAAGTTCAGAATGATCTTGACAAACTAGAAGAGTGGTCTGAATTAAGGATGGAAATTAATTAAGGACAAATGCAAAGTACTACAATTAATTGCACAAATATAAATGGGAAATGGCTGCCTAGGAGTGAGTACTACAGAAAAGGATCTGGTAGTTATAGTGGATTACAAACTAAATGAGTCGTCAATGTAGTACTTTCAATAAAAATAAAAATTGAACATCCATTCTGTGATGTATTAGCATGAGTGTAAGCAAGACACAAGAAGTAATTCTTCCACTGTACTCAGCAATGATAACGTCTCAGCTGGAGTAGTGTGTCCAGTTGTGGCCACAACATTTTGGGAAAGATGTGGACAAATTGGAGAAAGTCCAGAGGAGAGCAACAAAAATAAGTCAAGAAAACATGATCTATGAGGAAAGATTGGGAAAAATTTGGGTTTGTTTAGGTTGGAGAAGAGAAGGGGGTCGGGGAGAACATAAGTCTTTACGTAAGAAGTGGTTATAAAGAAGGTGATAAATTGTTCTCCTTATCCACTGAGGACAGGACAAGAAGTAATGGGCTTAAATTGTAGCAAAGGAGATATAGATTATACATTAGGAAAATCTTCCTAACTGTAAGGGTGGTTAAGTACTGGAACAAATTTGCCTAGGGAATTTATGGAATCTGAGTCATCAGAGGTGTTAAGAACAGGTAAGATAAACACCTGTCAGCGATAGTCCAGATAATACTAAGTCCTGCCTCAGTTCATGAGACTGGACTAGATGACTTATTGTGGTCCCTTCCAGTCCCACCTTTCTGTGATTCTCTGATGATGATTCCTGCCGTTTGAAGCTGGAGCTCACAGTTTCTCCCAGCAGAGCGATGGATGTGTTTTAATAGCTCCTCCACAAAGACTACTGGGCTCCAAAACTCTCTTATGGGATAATGCCCTGTGGCAGGCCACTAACAGGGAATCACTTGTCCTACCTCTTGAAGCACCTCTCCGCTATCCACTGCCCTCCGAACTCCATGGTGTGGTAGTGACCTGTGCCTGAGTAAACACTTGGGGTAGAAGTTAAAATGCCAATGGCTATTTTATTGTCTGATTGGTAAACAATGTTGAAGCTTAGCAAGAGGAACAAGAGAATTTTCTTCTCCACCTTTGCACCCACAGAGAATTGTTTGGAGTGCTTGATAGCCTGATAAATCCTCTCTGCCTCTGCTTTGAAGCAGATCTTTCAAGCTGTGAGGAATTTTCCATCTACTTCATGGATAAAATGGATCAGACTGAATCTGCTGACACAAAGAGGCAGATTCACTTCCGATGGGGACAGATGCTAGGTCTCCTCTAGGAGTTCTGGTGTGTTCTGCTTGCTGAGATTAGAGGTATTAAGGAAGCTTCCGCCTGCAAGTTGAACCAGTCTCCCATAGCTGGTGTCGTCCTGTACTGCATAATTCCATGATTTGTAGAATCTACCTCTTGGTGCAGGATTTCGTTCCAGCTTTTTCAGTTCCAGTGTCGTTCCAGAATTTTAAAAAAGCCTCTAGCCTTTAGGGTTGTGAAGGAAACCTTAAACCTGAGCTGAATGTAACCAATGCAGTGATGTTTGCAGAGAGCCTGGAACAACAGCTCTGGGAGGCCTGGACTGGCCCATGCATCTCAATGAGCTGTTACCGCTCAAAGCTTAGAAATGACACTTAAAATGCCAACATTATCTATTTAGTTCCTGCTTAAAAGATCAGCAGTTACTTGGCTAACGTGCTTATTTCCCAATCCCAAACTGCTCCTCATGCCTTCTCAGCTGCCAGCAGTCCTGCCCCGCCAAAACACCAGCTTCCCCCCTAGAACTTCCACGATGCCGTGATGCTAGTACTGACGCCTAGTGTGCACTGAGAACGTTTGTTACTCTGCAAAATGGCACCCTGAAATAACATGCAATGACCCTCTTGGTTGGGTTGTCAGCAGGGATTGTACCTGGTGCCTCAGGATCTGAGAGCTTGAACCTCTACTGCTTGAGCTGAGGGCCATGCCCATTAGCTAAAAGACAGTAGCAGACTCTCACCCCAATGTTTGGTCTAGCCACTAGAGGGAGCAAAGCCACGCTGTTAGCGAGTTCCAACCCCCCCGGGGCTTCCCTGTTGTGCCAGATGCAGTAAAAAAAACCCTTCAGTTTTGAATGGAAACAAAGCAGGTGCAAAACTTCCAGAATCTCGGGGTGGGGTGGGGTGCAGTACACAGGCTCTTGTGACTTGGAAGCAAGTGTAGACTCCTGAGCCAGCGATGGAAAAAGTGCCCCAACTACGGCTGTCTTTGCATCCCTTTCTTCATTTTCGAAACCAACTAGAAACCAGAGCGGTTCAACGCATGGTACTGGGTGCTAACCACCCAAAGCCTTTCCAGCTTCCGCCGTTTCAGGGGAAGAGGACACACTTCCCCCATTGAGCCTTTCTGGCTACTATAGAAGGACTCGCATGAGGGCTTCCCTCACCCTTGGGGTCCCTACAGTCTGTTGTCCCTGCCGATGAGGTAAGCCTTGTATGTGGCTTCCTGTAGGTCACGTGCCTGCAGTTAGTCATGTGACTGTGACCTCCACTCCCCATGGTCATGACAGGTGTACTGGGGTGTCTGCATGTGCCCCGAAAGCCCCGTGCCCTGTTACAGGCAGTTTTTGACTCCTTCGTTCAGTATCACTCTGTCTTGTGTACATGAGACAGGAGGGGTTTGTATGGGAATGGTTTTTTTGCCCTTGACAAACAGTTGCAAGGGTTGTAGAATGTTTTTGTGCGTTTTCCCTGAAATGTGCAAGCTAGGACATGCTTCATAAATCCCCATGTGTAAATAGTTAACTCTGGCTCCTTAGCCAGGCCAGAAGGTGCTGGGTAAGGGCTTCTCTAGCTATGCTGGCTAAGCAGATCTGGATTATACTCGGACTAAACCAATTGCTTTATGTGAGAGGCTAGTGCTAGCTTGGGGTCTTTCTCCTCTCCAAAGACAAAAAGAGAGCTAGAGATGGGATGGGCAGATCAATCTGATAATGGGGTGGGGGGTTCCCCAGCTGGGACTCTAGGTGTGAGGTAGCTCAGGAAACATACTTATAATCTAACCCCTTGAAGCCAAGAGCTAGGCTTCTAGGAACAAGCTGTCAATATTGGCATCCAAGTGGTTAACAGAATGAGCAATTAACTGACTGTCTCAGATTTTGCCAAGGAATGGAGTTCTACCGCTCTGACTGGGGGGAGCCTTGCTTCCTCTTTAGCTTACTCTTTATCCACGTTGCTGGGTCTGTCTGTATGGAAGTTCCTATGCTCCGCTCTGCACTCCTGTACCAGCATAGCTCTCCTGTGGGAGTCTCTGATCTGCATTGGAGTCTTCCATGTAAAGCAGGCTGACTAATTCTTTTACTCTTCTCTCTCCAATTAGGAATTTGCTTGCTGAGATCCTGTAGCAAAGAGCCTAAGCAAAGCTACAGCAGAAAGGAGGCCCGAGAAGGGGGAAGCCTGCCTCTGCAGTAGTGACTTCTGCTTGCAAGCTCTTTTGCCCTCTGAAGAGGATTCAGGACCCCAAGAAGCACAGCAGAATGGAAATGAGAGCTCTGGCTCCTGGTTTGGGGATGGAGCCTTTGACAGCAAGTGGACTGGATCCCAGACTCCTCGCAGAAAGGAGAATGTCATGGCACTATTTCTGATTTACGTTTTTATTTTTGGTGTTTCCGTTCCTCAGCATGGGAAATACTGTTTTTAAGAGCAGCTGGATTTTGTAACACCGCAGATTCGAGGGTGAGGGAAGAGAGGGATCTCGCAGCAAGAGTATCCAATCCAGCCATCCTGGTGAAACTGCTCTTTGGCTACCATCCATGTGGCTGTGGCCAAAGAGCTCTTGGGAAGCAAACTGAGCCAGATTCGTGTGCAGCTATGTAGAATAATTGTGGGGGGGAATCAGCACTCAAACAGTGTGCAGCTGTGTAGATCCTGTGCTTTCTAGGAGACTGGGCAAGAGCCAAACCTGTCCTCGTGTAGCCGAGATTTCCTACTGGATTGCAGAGTGGTCCTGTGCACTTTCACATCCTACCCAAGGAGGGGAACAGAGCGTTCCCCATTCAAATGTTCTGAAGCCTTCTGCCAGTGAAATAGCTTGTAGTGTTGCGGGGCAAGAGGCTATCAGCCACCCAGCAAATGCCAGAAGATCTAGCCCAAGAGTTTTTCAGGCTAAAGTCCTTTACAGTTCCTCCTGTGATAGCCGTGGAATCTGGCAAAGCTGTTGTCTAAATTCCAGCAACCCATGAGTCAAGGGCATTCCTGCCTCACTGAAGCAATCTCAGCACTGCAGAGCCATGGGGAGTTTTGTTATGGCCTTTGTGCTGGCTATTCCCAAAAGCTGCAAATGAAAAGGCTTTTTAATCAAAGAAGCAGTGTCGAATCCTGACAACTAATTGCTAAGGCTGTTGTGGGACATCTGAGACTCAACAGACAGGAACACGGTTTTCACCCTAATCCTAGTTTAGGTGGGATGATTCAGGAGAGAAGGGTGATCACAACATAATTGGAGACCGCTTCCTGATCTTCCTGTGAGGGTGATGCTCTGTATTTCTAGCCTTTCTGGTGATGAACTAGAATGTGATGATCTGGGAGTAACAATCCCTGAAGATGGGGCCAGTAACAGGAGAGCTAAAACAGTGTTGCTTCTACTGCATTTGCTATGTGTCTCCTAAATTTTCCATGGCTTACTGGGTTTGGCACTAGTAATAGCTCTCTCATCTCAAGGAGTCTGGTCTGCTGCTGCCTTTACAGCTGCTGAGGAGTTGTTTTCATGGCAAAATGTAGTGTCTGCCCTTTGGGGATGAGACCTTTCTAAGGAGGGATCTCACGTTCTGTATATTTAAACTAAAAATTCCTCTCAACATGACGCCTGTACACCTCCCCTCCCAGCAGCCTGGTGATCTGGAAGTTGTGATGTTTGTGTCTGGCACTCGGGTTGTGGTCGTCTTACCTAGCAGTCCTTTAGCTGAGTTCTGAGTGTCCCTTATGTTGGATGTATCAGTTCGTGAGCCTTTAGGATTTGCACCGTTCCTTAAGGAATGATGTACATATTGAGGTTAGAGAGAGTAGCATGAAATCTGCCTGGCTCTCTGTAAAGAGCTCCTATAGAGGGGGCTGGAGGCCAGGGCTCTTCCTTTCCTGTGTAAATGAGCACAGCTTCACTTCCGGATGAAACCACAACAAAGTTTAAGCAGTCTCTAGAAATACCTCATCTGAAAACAATTGCTACTGAATCTGCATCCCGTTGGTGGTTACCTATTTGGGCAGGGGATAGCAGAGAGGGAGGAATACCCTCTGAGACTGGTCATTTACAGTATGTCTGCACTGCCCCCCCAAAAAACCAACCCATGACTGCAAGTCTCGGAGCCTGGGTCAGGCTCCTGGGGGCTGAAAAAGCAGTGTAGATGTTCCTTCTTTGAGCTGCAGTTCAGGCCCTGAGACCCACCTCCCTAACCAGGTTTCAGAGCCCAAGTGGGAACGTCTATGCTGCTGTTTTTAGCCTGTTGATCTGGACTCTGAGACTTGCTACTTTGGGTTACTGCAGTGTAGACAAAGCTGTAGCATGTCTTGTTCCCTTGTGAAATCTGGGTCCATAGCACAACATGACCCACCAGCGAGGCCTCCAGAAGTTTAATCTCTCTCATGAATCCTATGTTCTCCCTCTTTCTCCCCCGCCAGCTGGAGATTTGCAGTTCACATAGTCGTGGGTATGGTTAAGATTAAGGCGCACACAGCAAGTTGGGACGAATGCTCCACAGCTCCCCATCCGCGCCGCTTGGATGCACAAGACTGATTGCATCTTCCTTTACAGTGGGAGGTGGCCTGGATGTGACCGCGATCGCTAGATGTGTAATCCCTCCATCTTTGATACACCTCATCCTAGCCATGGATTGAGAATCCAACTGTTCAACCTCCAGCAAATTCATACACTGGAAAAATATCTGCTTCCCCAGAGTGACTGCAAAGGAGGATCTGACACCTCCAAAATGTCTGTACATTTATGTGCAGCTGCAGACTGACAGCTTATTAACCTTCCCTCTAATTGGACAGCTCTGCGAGGCACTGGATTGGGAGAGCAATGCGGAGTGCGAAGGAGCTGGCTATTGGATTAGGATGGTTCCTTGATTTCTGCCAGCCGTGGCGAACACCTGCAATCAACATGGGTCTGGGAGTCTTGTGGGTCTGCTCGCAAGGAGTCAGGGGAGGACCTCCCCCCCCCAGCCCCCCCCACTAAATTTGGAAGATGTCTGTGCTGTTTCCCACATACCTCCCACCCAGTTCTTTCTGGAGCTGATAAAGATTCAAGCTGTCAAATTGATGCTGGATTTGGGGAAGCAAGATGGAGATTTAAATAGCCAGGCTGGAAAAAGAAGAGGAAATGCATTTGGAAGGGCCAAACACTGAAATAACCCATAGAGTGAGCTACTATCCCTAAATGGGATTGTCTGGGCAGGGAATTTTTTTTGGAGGGGGCGGGATAAAAACGCACAAATCTACACCCCAGCATTGGCTGGTTTAAAGAGAAATGCTGATCTCCGCTATTCTGACCTCTTCATTTTCTGGCATGTTTTAATTCTCCATGTCCCTCTCCTTTTGTAAGCCCTGTGCAACTACTGAGGACTTGTTCCTGCTGAGCCATTGAGTCCTAGGGCAGGTCATGTACATAAAACATCAGGAGCAGTCCAAGAAGCAACGTAACTTTTTGTAATGCTGTTGCGTCTGTATTTGGTCTGCTGTGAGCATCCTTGAAAAGGAATTTCCCCCACAGGCTGTTTGGCAATTTCTGCTGGTACTTGAAACTTGAACGCTGCAGTGGGTGAGCGTTCTAGCCGGATGGTGGTCGGCTAACAAGGGCTGTGGCCTGCATCCTTGAGCTGCTGGTCAGAGTTACTTTATTTTCTCTGCCTGGTGCCAGGGATTCCTTGGTATGGAATGGAATGCTGTCTGCTACGGAGCATAGGAGGTGTTAGGGGAAGCCTCAGTCTTACCAACAGGTATCCCTAAAGCACCTTGCAAGAGTCAGAAGCTTATCACAATTTTACTAGCCTGTACTTTTTCCATGGAGAAACGAACAAGGCTTTACCTGTCAGCAAATTTCTCTGGGCAAGTATAATTTGTAAGGCTCAACTTTAGTTGCCTTCAACAATAGGAAACTCCACCAAACTATTACCACGGGCTTGCAGGGTTCTGCATGCTATATCTTTAAATGGGCTAATCTGGAGCATGTCTCATTTCTTATGCAAGATCATTTTAATGTTCTGTGTTGAATGGAGGCAGGCATGGAAGCAATGCACTGTGTAAGGGTGACAGGGTGCTACACACGTGCCCTGTAAATTTACCCCACCTCCACATTTCTGTGGCATACCCAAGCAAAGGGAGGCACACGTACTGCATAACCATTCTGCTGCCTCTTTAGTATCGCTTGGATAACATTCTCTACACTCTTGCAGTAAATAATTCTTTTGAAATCCATGTTTAAAAGAAGTTCATATTGAAAGCACCTCTTATCACTTCATGACTAGGTTTCTGAGCTGGTAGCTCTTCCTGCTGGAGCGATGGGAACTTCATAGACTCTAGCAGCAGGTATAAACGTTTTTACTGCTCCAATTCAGAGACTATCAAAGTCTGAGGGGAATGGACAGAGACTTCTCCTCTCCAAATGGGCACTGTTCTTCCTTACTGGATGTAGCAGGCCTGTGGATGGAGATCTTATAGGTGACCTGTTCCTAGTTCCCTTTTTGTCAGTGATCCTCATGTAGGGAGGAACATTTCACATTTTTACGGGAATTTTTTGTAGTAGGTTAGTGGGCTTATCTAGATTTAAAGGGACACTATCAACTTGATTCTCTTAAAGTTACTGGGAGTGTCCTTTAGTGTCCTGATCTCTTAATTCCTTTAAGAAAATGTAAGTTTGATACGTTCATAAATAGGATTATATGATGGGGGTTTGCCTGTGATAGCAGGGGACTGGATGAGATGACCCAAGGAGGTCCCTTAGAGTCCTGTAACCATGGGGGTTTTTCTGCTGCAGATTATTGGGGCCCTGTTTAGTAAGGGAGAATGTGACTATTGATGGGGCAAGGGAGATGGATAGTGAAACTGACTAATATTAAAAGTGCTGTCAAATGCACAAATTAAAGTTGAAAGAAATCTCTTCCATGGTCTTTTCAAGGATGCTGATCTTCAATGTAACTACAGCTGGTACAAAATTTCTTAGTCAAACGTATTCAAGTTGACAAGGTGCCTTTAAAGGCAGCTAGCTCAAACACCAAATTTGTCCAGTTGCATACGTCACCATCTTTCTTTTCACGGCAGCAGTGTCTATAGCTAGTGAGATGACTTGACTTGCTCCTGGGGAGTAAACTTTCTTTTAATAAAAACAGCAACTGTTTTGAGTTTCAGGTGCAATTTACTTCTGAGGATGACCTGACGTGGGAAGAGGGAAGAACACAGTTGATGTCCCCAGTGTTGTTACACTGCAGACATTTTCACTTGTGAGATGTTAATTTAGGAAGCCAGCTGTCACCTTTAAAGCTAGAGCAGGGGGCTCAGGATTTGAACTGTGGGGCTCCCATATTTAAGTCAAAAACTAAGTGTAGAAATTTTTGAAGACCTCTTCTCTGAAGGGGAAACCAGCGCTGAAAATCAAATGGTGTTTCAAATATTTGGCTCAGTCTTCAAACCCATTTCAGGAACGAGCTGCTTCTGGGGCTAACAGAGCAAAAGCTGAATCCTGGTTGGGTTGGGAGTGTTGCAGCTGGGCTATAGAGACCCCCTGGTGCCAGGGAGGGAATTTCTAATCTTGCTGCACGTCTTCCAGGCACATGGCACCACATTACACATCCAGCACTTGAAGACCCCAGAAGTGTTCGTTTCTGATCAGGGGACTGTGCCACTGTGCCCCTCTGGTAGTTGGGCTCGTACCTCTTTGGTGACACCAGCCAGGTACGTGGTCACGTATCTTGTAGGATAGACAAGTACATAAGCCTCTTCACTGAGCTTACAACAGCTGTTCATGGAGCTGAGCAGGATCAGGGAATTCTTGTGCAGGTGATGGCCAGTGGTGGGATTTTTCTGGCTCGCTGTAGGGCTGGCAATAAGGGAATCCAGGCAGCAGAGTTTGCTGAAGGAGTCATCTAACTGGCTAAACGTACAGGGCGTGGGAAGAATTGGCTTGTGCCCTTTCTCTATTCATCACAATTTGTAAATAGGGCCTCAGGTTTGACTTGTGTCCTACCATTAAAATCACTGTCAGGTCTAGGCCTCCCTGTTGGACCACTCATTGGAGATCTCGGATGTGCATTCAGTTGTCTCAGCTTTCAGTTGAACTTTCCACAATCCTAGGTGCCCCATAGCGTCTTCTAGGTAAAACAAGGTAGACAAGACCTGAAGTTCTAATCTACAAATTAGGGGCAGGTGAGTCCCAAGGGGATACCATACTCTGCTAGGTGTTAGACCTGGGTTCTGTCTCTCTGCTACTGACTTGCCACGGTGAGACCTCAGTCAAGTCTCTTAAATGCTGTGCCTGATTCCCCAGTTGTAAAATGGGGCAAAAGATGCTTCCTTTTAAAGTGCTTTGAGATGAAAAATGCTATCGGTGCTAATCAAGAAAAATGCCGGCACACACGCGCGTGCTCAAAACAGAACAAAAACGTCCAAGCCTTAACACAAAAAAGGGGCCCACCCGCTCTTTTTTTCTTTGAACGTCACTCTGTGACCAATACAAAAAACACTGGAGTAGCAGCCTCCTATCCTGTTTTAAAAATTGAGCTTCTACATATATAGGCAAATATCTACTGTATTTGATTTTGATTCATTTCAATCCAAGTAGCATGCAAAATTCTTGCATAGCTCAAAGACCCTGACTCTTGGGCAATGCAGATAAGGAACTTCCCTCTGTGTGGTGCATGTTGTAAACCAAGTGGATAAAAGCTTCTGCTCTGACTTGTTTCCAAGCCCAGCGCTCTTTAACCACCATCCAGCAGAAATGCGGCTTTGCTTAATTTTTTGGTCTTTTTTTTGATGTTGCTTAATTTATTAAAGTAGTTGCTGTATAATTTATTTTCATAAACTCTATAAAAAGTTACTAAATGGTAAACAGACTTGCAGGCCAATCTTTAAAAAAAAATAGTTTTTTGATAAAAACATAACAAATGCACTTTGAGTGTGTTTGGTTATTTTTTGGGGTGGGTGGGCAGGAAGCAGGGCGTATCTGTGGATTAGTCCCAGAAGGGGGTTGTCTGTATATATTGTATTAATAGGCATGTTTGGCCTCTCGTATGGAAGCATTAGTAACTGCTGCAGATCTTGTCCAGGAAGCCGGTGTAAAATTCTCAGTTTTTTGTAAATTGTCAGGGAGGGAGACCTCTGACTTTTGTGTTTGTAACTCATTTTTATTGTCGTTTCGAACAATGGGTTTTTTGGGTGGGTGGGGCGCGACAGGGGAATTTGAAATAAAATGGTTAGAAATTTGTTTCACAGACTGTGTCTTTAGATATTTCTCTCCCAGCCAGGATCCTGGACCAGTGCGGGTACTGTAACCTATTCCCACCCCATGTGGGGCTTTGTCCCTCTCTTGCACTGCTCAGCCTCTTTACTCCGGGAGCTGTAAAGCAACAGACCTGTTAGGAAGGGCTCTAGAATGCGCCTGCCCCTGGAAGGGAAGCATGCCACACTGAATGGGATTCACAATTGTCTGCCGTACTGTCCGCACACCCCATGGTACATGCTCCAACATTTAAGCACCTGGAGTTAAGAGGACCCTTCAGGTTCCTCCATCGCTCTTTGTTTGGGTTTCTTGTCTTTCTCCAAAGCCCCTGGTATTGGCTGCTGTGGGTGGTAGGATGCTGGCCTGGAAGTGGGTTCGTCTGATCCGGTCCTAGAAATCTGTGCAAAGGCAGTTCTTCCCTTTCCAGGGCTCCAAGGGTCCCTTCTGTTATCTGTCCCCTTTTCAACTCCCCTGTGTTTGCAGCAGGATGGGATGCTGAGGGAAGTCTTCCTCTTCCAGTCCTTGTCATCCAACACCTCCTGCTGTGAAATGCTGCAACACCTCAAGTGCTGGAATTGCGCCTCCACCACCGCTCATCCCTGCTCCCAATGTACTGTGCTCCCCTGACGAGGCTGAGCGGGGAGCCCTGCTGGGAGGACCCCACCCCGAAAAGGGCTGTTACTTACTCATCTGCCTTGTCCCAAAGCCATATAAATCCCAGGATGGGGGGAGGGGGGGGCAGAGCTTTCCTTGCTCCCATGAGCGCCTGCGTTTACTGGCCTTGAGCGGGAGTGAGCAGGGGAACATTGGGCTTAACTTGTTTGGCCTGTGGGATGATGTTGGGCTGAAACATCAGCAGAGAGACGTGCTTGGGTGTGACTTCTGGGCTGGACGAACTGGGCGTGGTGATGATGGCAGTGGGATGGGGTTGCTGCTGGTGTGGGTCAGGGAACGGGAGGAGGGAACGTGTGTGCAGTGAAGTGTCTGGGGTGGCGGAAGCTCAGTGTCAAAGGTAAATGGGAGCGGAGGAAGGAGTGTAATGGAGAGAGGGGCAGTGATGTCCTCTGTGGCCAGGGCAAGGGACCGTGGGTGAGGACAGGCAGGAACATTAAGAGCGTTGCTTGGGTGACCAGAAGCTTGAGGGACTAAACCATTGTGGGCTGGGGGGCAAAGGGAGGACACATAAGTGTCTGTTATGGAGCTGCTCAAAGACCTGGCATGAGCTGGCCTGGGTATTGACTGACTCACGGCCACCGTGAGTCAAGGATATTGACCTGGATGGGGGGCAGCAGAGGGCACAAGGACTGAAAGATCCTGGAGATTAGGGACCTGCTGCAGGACAAGTGCTGGGTTCCTGGTGGGGAGGCGTCAGGCTCGGGGCATAGGACATTTCCGAGGGTCCCGAGAAGGGGCAGGCACCGGTGGCCTGTTCAGGGCTAATGCTGAGCGTGTAGCTAGTGCAGGTCTCCGAGAAGGAGCCATGTGTCCCCCATTGTACAGATGGGGGAACTGGGGACAGGGAGGGGAAGAAAATGGCCAGAGGTCACAAAGCAGCAGTGGAACCCAGGTGTCCTGGTTCCTGCTCTGGGGCTGTGCCCCATCCCCTGGTCTGTACCGTAGCCTCAGATCGTAGCCACTTCACTCCATGCTCTCTGATCCTGGAGCAGCAGCCGGGCCCGGAGCGTACAAGTGAGGGGTGGTTTGTAGCATTTCTCATTCCCCCTCCCCGGGTGCTACAGCTCAGAGCTGTGTCAATCAAACAGGGCTGTGGGGCGAGGGAATAAGGTACCAGGCAGTGGGCGTAGCCGGCTGGTGCTACCCTCCATCCAGGCCTGCCGGCTGCTATTGGCACTGATGGAGCCCCTTGGGAAAGCCTCTGGCCGTCCCTGTGGGCAGTGGCCTAGTTCAAGCAGGTGGCTGTTTGCCCAGACTGCTCCCCGAAATCCTCCTCCACTTGTGGCCCTGACACTAAGTGCCCGACCTTCGGCTGGTGAAGGGGGAAGCTGAGAGCAACCAGCCCCTTGGCCCTGCTGCCTGGAGTGAGGCTGGTGCCCGCTCATTGCACCACACAGAGCTGAACTCCTGGGGCAGTGTGTCCTAGGTGACCCTCCCGCCTGGCTCTGTGGGGGCTTCCTCTGACCTGTTACTGCCCCCCAGGCCACTTCGGCGGCTGGGCACAGCATGGAAGTGGGGGCAGGATTCGGGGGGAGGTGGAATTCTCTGCTGGGCCTGGTGCACCATCTTGTGCCCAAACTCTGCAACTGCCGGCAGCGTTTGTGCATCAGCTATGACCCGGCAGCTTTGCAAGGCTTGAAACACGTGAATTTGGGCTGGCAGAGGGGTAGGAAAAGAAACAGCTGTTGTCGGGGGAGCTTTGCATCCCCTCCCTCAGCTGAACAGCTGCTAGGAAGGGGACTGCTCTGGAGCCAGGCATGGATGGCTGTGGGGAGCTGTGTGGCAGGGGGTGGGGTGGGGTGGCTCAGAGGGCGTGAGGCCCCCCCAAAACGGCAAGCCTGGGGAAGGAGTGGAATTTGCCTCCCTGTGCAGCCCCATTGGGTTTAAAAGAGAACTGGATAAATTCATGGAGGCTAAGTCTATTAATGGCTATTAGCCAGGATGGGTAAGGAATGGTGTCCCTAGCCTCTGTTTGTCAGAGGGTGGAGATGGATGGCAGGAGAGAGATCACTAGATTGTTACCTGTTAGGTTTACTCCCTCTTGGGCACCTGGTATTGGCCTCTGTCGGTAGACAGGATACTGGGCTGGATGGACCTTTGGTCTGACCCAGTATGTCCGTTATGTTGCTCAGAGCAAGGGGAGATTCCCTGGCCGAGGGAGACCTAGGTCCCTGAAGGAGGAGAGGGGATGCATGGGGACTGGAATGGGGTCCATGTCAGGGGTGTGAGGATGGGTATTTGCCTCTCTCCCTCGGCGCCTCGGGTGTGGAGCAGGGAATTCTAACGTGCGGGCCATGCCGAAATCCTGATGGGGCCTCCTCAGTGGCTGGCTTTGGTGTGTGTAGTTTTCCCATCCCTGTGCAATGCCCCCCACGCGCCCTCCCACCCCAAACCAAACAAGAGCCGTGGGACGCAGCGGGGGCTACTGGTGGAGTGATTTCCTGGCTGAGTACTGCTGAGAAGTGATCGAGGGGCTGCTGATGGCCGGCATAGGGCTGTCGAGGGAGAGAGATTTCAGAGTAACAGCCGTGTTAGTCTGTATTCGCAAAAAGAAAAGGAGTACTTGTGGCACCTTAGAGACTAACCAATTTATTTGAGCATAAGCTTTCGTGAGCTACAGCTCACTTCATCCGATGGAGGGAGAGAGAGGAGGTCTCTTCGGACCAGTCCTTATGTGGCCAACCAGCCCATGGCATCTGGCCCACGGGAGCGATGCTGAGGCTGGCCTGTGGCCCCGAGGGGTGTGCAAAGGGGGGAGCCCTGGACACTCGGTAACCTCGTCACAGTGGAAGGTGCACACCACCTCCTCGCCTGCCTGAGGAGCCGTGTGCAGGAGCGGTGGCTTGGAGCCCCCAGCAGGCAGGCGATTGCCCCGAGCCTGGCAGGGCTGGCTCTGGGTTCTGAGCTGGGTGCAGTGAAATCACGCTAGGAGAGCTGGGCCCCAATGCAGAGGGGCCAGGATGGAGCTTGCTCTGCTTTTGAAGAAACCAGGCCTGGGATTTTTGAAAGGGATCTGGGGCCAGAATCCCATTGACTTTCTATGGGAGCTGGGAACCTCAACTGGAAATCCCAGCCGCAAGCTAACTGCCCAACGAGCCCAGCCCCTGGCAGCCTGCCTTGTCCACAGGGTGGCCCGTGTGGGGAGCCAGGACACCAGCATTTAGCCTTCCCCTCCGGCTGCCCTGACCCTCCTCCTGGCTAAGGGCAGCTGCTCCTGCTGCAGCCAGATGGGGCAGCTCCCAAGTGAGAGCCCCAGCTAGGAGTTTGCTCTCGCCCCTGCCTTGCCAGCGCCCCTGGGTCTGGGCCCACGCTGCTCTCACGGCCCCGGGCGGTGGTTCAGCTCCTTGCTCCTGTTCTGTTTTAGCACTGAGCTGTTCCCCACCCCCACCGCCCCCGTCGGCGCTGGGAGGGAGCCTCGGAAGCCGGCTCCGAGTGCCTGTGGGGTGCGGCAGATCAAAGCCCGGAGAGCGACAGAATGGGGTGAGCGCTGTGAGAAGACTCCAGGCTCGCCAGCGTCTGCCAGGAGCGGGGCGGAAAGGGGGCTAGGGGAGGCTGGCGAGGCTGAGGGGCTCATCATGCACCCCCTTCCCGGCTTCGCTCCTTCCGTCAGCCTCTTGGAGTCTGTGCCAGCCGCAGCCGGTGCTGCCCGAACCGCTGACCCAGGCTGTGGCGGAGAGGAGCTCGCAACACCTAGCTCTCAATGCAGGGCGGCAGAGCTGGCCCTATGGCACAGCTGGGGAGTCCAAGGCACAGGGGAGGGCGAAGGGATCTGGTCCGGCTGTGGGGCAGGCAGGCCCTGGTCAGACCCAGGAATAAAACTGAGGGCCCCTGGCACCAGAGCAGCCCCGGCCATGGAAGGGGCAGGCTATGGCTGTTCTGTATTTGGCTTGTGGTTGAGAGCGCTGGCTGGCATGTAGGTGTGCCAAGAGCACGGCAGCCAGACATGGCCCACAGTGCTAGGCACTGTACAGGCCCAGAAGAAAGCATCAACCCCC